AGCTTCTTAGATGTTAGCAAAAGCCCACTTGCACAGACTGTCACGGAGGGGCCACACAGTGGGCAGGGGTCAGGGAGGAATGCCCAGAGCTGCAGAGGCAGAGCTGCTAACCACCGCTCTGCGACTCACTGGGGACCTAGCTCCAAGGATAGGCACCACAACCAGGCCCTGGAGGCTTTGGAGGCATGCTCAGGAGTGACCTACTTAGGCCATGCCTATCTTGGCCCAATCCCCATTGTTTACAGTGGTTGGGGTCGTACCACACACACACACATCCCAGCAGCCCTTGTGGGAGGAAAGAACTGCATGCTCCCACAGTGGGCTCTGCACATGCTGTGGGGGAGGGTGTCAGAGGAGGGTACGCAGCACTCACCAGAGCACCTGTTGGCCCTGCTCGGTCACATCTCTGCCATTGACACTTGTGAGTCAGGCCCTGGGGCCCCAGGTTGAGGGTGAGGATGACTCCATTGCTCCCCCTGGATTCCACCTCCACAGCGGAATCAGAATGTGCAGCTGGGTCCCCAGAGTAGCCCAGATGTATGAGGAGATGGAGACACAAGAGACAGAGCAAGCTGCACACAACAGGCTCTTTTCCTGGGACATTCCACCAAACATCCCCACAGCACACGTTCACATATGCAAGTGCTTGCTCACACGTGTACTCACACGCCACACTTGGGTACTCAGTGCTCAGAGGACCCGTGTTGATGCTTGGCGAGGAGAGCCTGGGCTGGGGCAGGAAGGGCCAGTGGAGCGTCTGGGATCGGGCAGCAGCCTTACTGCTGCCAGAAGCTCTACCAGCTGGGAACCAGTCCAAGAGGGAGAACCCACGAGAACCCCAAGTCGGCTCCGTCAGAGCTGCAGCCGTTTCATGTGGTTCCAGCTCCCTAGTGTGATCCAGGATTTCAAAGGTGCACTAGCAAAGGACGGTCCTGCGTGTCTCTGCCTCCACCTGAGCCAGCTCCAATGTCAGGTCCTCTGCCAGAAAGCTAAAGGTGCATGCACACACACAACTTGAAAGGAGCTGCCACTACAGTTTCTCACCAGCCCTCAGCAAGACAGAGGAGTTCTGGGGCCACAGAGAATGCCATCCTACCCCCTAAGCACAGCCGGACTGTGCCCATTGTGGGTTGTCCAGGTTATCCCAGAAGTTCCGTTGGCCCCACCCCTGAGGGGCTTTTGGACAGGCCCTAGGAGAATACACAGGAACCTCATGGCTGACTGCTGCCCACATACCTCAGGTGGCCTGAGGATGGAATGCCATGAGATCCCCTTATGCCCCTGGAGACATGCACAGGCCCACTGCCACCCAGGATCTTCAGAGAATAAGACAGTGGAAGGTTCAGGCCCAGAATGGGCCCAGAAAGTCCTGAGCCAGGAGATGGTTCTTGATCAGAGGAGATGGCTTCTTGAGCTGAGAAAGCCAGCTGCTAGCCCCTTCGCAGCTGACCAGACAGTGAGTGGCCACTGAGTACTGGATGGCACAGCCGTCACCCTCATTTCCAGACTGGAAAACAAAGGCCCAGAAAGGCTGCCATCCAGCAGCTAGAGTCTGAGCCAGGCCAAGTGCCAGAGCCACCCCAGCCACCTTGCACTGGGCCAGCAGCATGGGACTTGACGTCTTATCTACAGCCACTGAAAAGCAGGGGACCCCAACAAGAGGCTACACCTTGGCCTCTGCCCAGCAGGGGCAGATCACATGGTGTGCCTGTCCTTCCTCCTGTCTTCCCTGAGGCCCTCCTCATGACCATAAGCAGGTTCCATGTGCTCCCACTGAGTAAGTCTTTGTAGGACTGTCTGGAAGTGTCCACATCTGTGATATCCGCACGACAGGGCCCCCGGCCCCAAACCGTTGTCCTTAGGCAGCACCTCAGTGGGGCCTCCAGCTTCAGGCATGTCCATCCCCTCTACCACTTGCCTTGCCTGAACCCAATGCAAGCTGAGCAGCGGCAGTGAGAGTCACTCAATACCATGTCTGTACCGTTTGCTTGGAGTGTGCCAACTTGTCAACCAACGTTTGCTTGGAGTGTGCCAACTTGTCAACCAACCTTTGCTTGGAGTGTGCCAACTTGTCAGGCATGTCAGCAGCCAGACACAGCAGGCCCATCACGCCTCCCATCTGGTTGTTGCAGCCATCATCCTTCCTACCCTCCACAAAAATGTTCCTTTTCAGGCACCCTGCCCTCAGGTGGGGACGCTCCTCCGACCTCCCACCGCCATGGAGCCCGGCGAGGGAGTTACACAGACTGGAGCCTGAGCAGAGATGAGGACCGTGCCCTCACCCCCGCTCTGGACACCCCTCTCCATTCCTATCTATTGCTCTGTCACCGTCCACGCTGCGGAAGCTCCCAGCCAGAGGCATTCGCCTTTGTGAGCTAAGGATTCGGGTGGGCGCCCACAGCACAGCCACAGTGGTGCTGACCCCCAGGCTCCTCCTGCAGCCTTCACCCCGACTCTGTTCCAGGGCAGAGGATGCCATGGCAGGCCTGACTCAGTGACTGGTCTGCCATACCCATCCACTGAAGGTCACCTGGCACTGGGAATCCGTATAGCTGGTTCTTTAGCCTGGTGGTCCTCACTTCCCTGGGTCGGTTCAGCCAGAGGAAACAATGGCAGAAGAGATCCGCTGTGTATGTCCAAGCTCCTCCAAGGAAACAATTCAGGATTAGGTGTGGTAGAGCACACTTCTGATCCCAGCAATCAGGAGGCTGAAGCAGGAGGATTGCTGAGAGTTCAAGGCTAGTCAGGAAGATACAGGAAAATCGTGTCTCAGAAAGAAAAAAAAATTTTTTTTCTTTTTTGGTTTTTTGAGACAGTGTTTCTCTGTGTAATAGCCCTGGTTGTCCTGGAACTCACTCTGTAGATCAGGCTAGCCTCAAACTCACAGAAATCCATCTGCCTCTGCCTCCCAATTGCTGGTATTAAAGGCATGAGCCACCGCCATCTCCCAAAAAGAGCAAAGTAACTTTCAACAGCCACTACCACCCACAAGCTGTTATCCCCAGAATTCACAGGTGGGAATCCTGACAGCCCACACCAGAAGGCATCACAGCCGCCCAGTCACCCAGATGAGGGAACAGGAATGGAGTGGAATAGGTGAGCGGGCCCCTTCCAACCTGGTAACAGAGCTATCTGGGAAGACAGGCCCGTGCAGGAAGAGGAAGGTCCCAGAATCAATTATCAGGCCCTGCACATAGTACTCTTCCCCAAGTGGCTAGAAGGGAGCTGGCAGCCTCAGACTCCCAGGTACAGGAGGGAGGTAGCAGAGGGCTAGACACTGGCCCTTATCCCAGACACATGGTAGGCCAGCCTTTGCCAAGAGCAGCCAGTCACCTAAGCTGCTGAGGCTGGGGTCAGGGGCCTAGCAGGGTCAGTGTGGGCCATGCTGTGTGGGCAACGGGGAAGGATCATACAATGTGGACGAGAGTCGGCACAGAAGCAGCACATGGAAAGGTATGCACCCCCTGGGCAGCGGCCCAGATGTCAAGCACATGGGAAATAAGCAAACAAGTGACAGACAGCCTTCAAAGGGGGACATAATAGAGGGCCTGGGGGCTGTAGCTTCTCTCACAGGGGGTGAGCTTGCAGGGTTTTCTTCCTCTTAACATACGCTGGCCCCTCCTGACACCACCAGAGAGCCATCACAGGACAACAGTGGTGCAAGGTCTGGGTGGTGGATGAGTGGAGATGTGACTGCGTGGGTTCCTGCCTCTGTAAGGGGGCCCACAGTGTGTGAACCCTTGATGAGTGTGAACCCTGCCCAGCGTCTGGACATTCTCCGGGGGCCTCTGGCTCCACATCACTCAGCCACAACCACACCTAACACCTGTCCATGTGACGGGGCTACCATCCTGCCAGCACAAAGGGATCACCTTCTAAGGAAGAGTCCAGGCCGCCAGACCACCTCACCCCAACCATGCTAATTCATGTGCCCCACCCCACCAGACACACTTTCCAGAACTGTACCGTCTCAGCCCTTATAGGCAGCCTCCAAGGCCTCTGATGCATGGATGTGGGCATCTATAGGCCAGTAATGTACTGCAATGTAGGCCGTGTCTGTGACAGGTTCTAACCATGTCACCAACGAGCACTCATATCTCTACAGACATCACTCTGGAATATGACATGGCTGCTGGTGGTGGCCCTGCCTGGGGAGCTGAGTAGGAACACCTGAAACCACTGGGAGTTGAGGGGGTGTGCAGGGCAGGAGATGGAGAAAGGATAAGGACACCCCAACCACCCAGGGAAGGGATGGCAGCGCCACCTGGAGCCAAACCCAGGCTCAATCAGTGGTTGGGAGCTACCTCCCCCAGGTAGCAGGGTGTAAGCCTCCACCCACAGCATCACTCTCCCAGGAACCAGAGCAACAGGGAAACTAAGGCTGCCCCTTCACAGGGTTACCAGAGAACCAGGGCTCATTACATAGCTTGATTTGGAGGCAGGTTCAACGGCGACTGTACCTTTGCAGCACTGCTTCGAGAATAAGCTCCAACACCGGGTGTAGTGGCGAGGGGTGTAGGGACGAGTGCCTTTAACCCCAGTATTTAAGAGGCAGAGGCAGGCAGATCTAGTTCACGTCCAGCCTGGTCTACATAGTGAGTTCCAAACTGGTCAGGGCTACAGAGAGAGAGCCTGTGGGGATGATATGGCAAGAAGCAGCTCTGTGAACTGAAGCACAGTACTGGCTGATGGCTGCCTGCTAGTGACCACCTTGGACCCCTTGCTCTCAAGACTGACTGCTCATACAGTTGAGATTAGCACACACTCAAATCCCTCATATCCAAGTTTGCAGGCTCCTGAACACCTCCCCCCGCAGACCCGAGGGAAGAACCTCCAGTCCTGGAGAGAGCAGAGAGAGGAGGAAAGGGCACAGGAGACAGGAGGAAACGGGAGCCTGAAGAGAGCACATGGCACCCACAGAGCTGCCTCCAACCAACTCGGGAAGGTGACCCAGGCTCAGGTTCCCAAAGATTCTATGAGAACACCACAGGAGAATGCTGTGGACATGGGATATACAGTTTTATTTAACAGCAATTAAAGTCCACCACACAAGAGGGACACCAGAGGATTCTTTTTTCGTTTAATAAATACAAATGAATAAAAATACTTTTGTTTTGTAAAGAGACTGCCGGTCTTCCCCCACTTGCCAGGGAAGCCTGAGGGTGGTGACATGCCCTGGGACCACTCTGCAGGTGTTCATGTCCCCACACAGGCCACTTCTTTTCAGAAAGGGCTTCATCTCAATGGCCTACAAATACTATTTCGGTACAATTCCCTTCTCCTGCACCTCCCAACACCAGACTCTGCTGCATTCCAAACAGAAACGGACTCCCTTGGGAGAAGGAAAGTATGAGGTCCCCATAGGTACTCAGCTGGAGCCCCAGAGCTGGGAACTACTAACACCATGAAACATGCACAGCGCTGGCCGCTGACATGTGAGCAAGGAAAAGCAGATCCTATGCAGCGAGATCTGCTGCACCCCCACAGATGAGCTGCACTTTAAAAATAGAAACTCATGTTTAAATGGAACCTGGTTAGAAAAGGCCAAGCATCCGCTTACACTGAAGGTCTGTTATTGCTTGTGGGGTCTGCTCGGGCACTGTTGCTCAGCATGGTCCTGCTGTCTGAGACCCTCCACCCCCGGCCTGCACCACAGCCGCTTCCCAGCTGTCCAGTTCAAAGTGGGCACCTCTGCTGAGCACCTAGTGGCAGATTCCCTTCCAACCCTGACAGTGAAGAACAATTTGATCCTAGAGCTAACCTTGGTGCGACCACATATGTACGTACAGAACCCCCGGGCGAGACCCACGCTAAAGCCCTGGCGTCCCCACCTGCTCTAATGTGCACCAGTAACTCAGACATGGATGTGACCAGGAAGAGCAGCAGCCTTGGTGATCCATGTCCCCTCTTCTCATGAACCCATTTACCAAACACCCCCTGGAGGGGGCTACGGTGACATCTGTGATGCACACAGCAAGCCTCTGTCACCATGCCAAAGGCAGCCTAGGCTTGTAAGTGCAAAGTGTCAAAAGAAGCTCAGAATGCCTCCTGGGACACCTAGGAACTGAGAGGCGGGGACGACAGGCCCACACTGCTTTCTCCAAGGCCCCATGTCCTCAGAAGGAGCAGCACTGGTACACCCAGTCCCTGGTGGATGTCAGGGGCAGGTCCTCAGCACTGCAGGAAGGAGCAGAGCTGAGGACCCGTGGCTGGGAGAGGTAGTGAGGACAGCCTGGACCCTCCCTGAGGCGCAGCAGGAGGAGTCCTTTGGAGCACAGCAGCTGTCATTACTCCAGTCATGATTTCAGGGGAGCTGCCTGGCTGGGGTGGAAAGGAAGGAACCATAGGTGCTGTGGCTCTGCAGAGGCCTGTGTTGGTGTCGGCATGGCAGCTCTGTTGCCAAGTGTTCTGGAGGACAGCGCTGGACTGCTCAGTGTGCACACGGTGTGGCCTCAGAGCCCCAGAGACTTCTGGACGATCTGCTTGGCGATCTTGTAGAACTGCTCCCGGTCATCCCGCCACATCTTGGAAGCATCTACATTTGCTCCACTCTCGTCGTTGGGCTCTGCAGAGAAAGGGAACTGTGAGTAAAGGGTGAGCACCTGGCCACAGCCTCCTTTTCATCTCTAGAGCGCCACAGAGCTCTCGCGGGTCATTCTGGGTAGCAAGGGGACTTCCAACACAAACCCGGGCCTTCTGCCTGAGGAAGGGAGGCTGGAAGCTGGCACAAGCAGGGCCCTGACCCTCAAGTCAGCAGGCCCCTCACTTCCAGCAGCCTGCAGCAGCTCCTTTAGGGGACAGGAACCCCCTTACCCCACACACCCCAAACTCCCCTTGACTGAATCCTGCTCCCTTTATACCTCGCTGGCCACTGCACCCTGGTGCTCAGGTGGCAATAGAAGTCCTCACACACCAACTGAGGGAGTCTGAGGGCCTGCCTCCTCCAGCCCCTCCAAATCCACCCATTCTCTTGGCCATGAGTGTCCACGTGTCTGAATACCAGACTGAGAAGTCAAATGCTCTGCTCCTATCCCAATCCCTCACCCGCCAGCTCCACACAGACAGTCCTTCTAAGGTAAAACTGCAGGATGTGGCAACCAATACAACTCCCAGGGCTCCCCACCAAGCTCAGTGTCAGGGCTCCTGCCCCTGTCCAGCTGACCCTCAGCCCCGAATGTCTTTCCTTCCCACCTCCCTTGTCAACTCCTGGTGTCCCAACTCACTCCAAAGAGGTCAGAGAAGTATTTCTGCAGTCGGGTTTACCACACTGGCCAGCAACTGCTGGTAGGTTTGCAAGTTCCTTGAAAATATAGGGACCTCACACTGGGGTATCTGTTGTACTAAGCATTAAACCCCTGTACTATGACACACAGTGGGGCCCCAATAAATGTAAATGCCCAAGATCAGAGAATAGCAAACTGTGGTCAACAATCTGGCATGTCCTATATAATCTGTAATCATGGAAGTATGTGTGGTGATATATTGTGTACCCTAATAAAATTTGCCTGAAGATCAGAGAACAGAACAAGCTATTAGATTAAACACAGAGGTCAGGCAGTGGTGGCACACACCTTTAATTCTAGCACTCAGGAGGCAGAGATTGGTCTGGATCTCTGTGAGTTCAAAGCCACCCTGGACTACATGAGATTGATTCAGTCACAGAGTCAGGCAGTGGTGGCACAGAGGAGGTTTTTCAGCTGGAGAGCTTTCGGCTGTGGACTGAAGAGACATTCAGTCACAGGATTCGTGGAGCTGGCGAGGTGAGACATGGCAGTGGCTTGTTCCTTTGTCTCTCTGATCCTTCAGCATTTACCCCAATATCTGGTTCTGGGATTTTTATTAAAAGACCTTTTAAAAAATTGAGCAACACCTGGCGCCCACCTTTTGGGGCACGGATTCAGGAAAAGGCTGCTTGCCTGTGGTCTGGCAGCCACCAGCTCAGGCCGACACGCAGCCGGAGTCCCTACCCTGCCAGCTGCGTTTCTGTTGCTGCCTCTCTGCAGCAAACTCCATAGGTTTGGGGCTCTAAAGACCACAGGAGTTAGCCACTTTCACACTCTTCCCTGTGCAGACAGCTAGGCCTTGGGCTGCTTTCCTCTCCCGGTGGGTTTTGGCTTTCCCTGGGCCCCCTCCTCAGGCTGCTGCCACACCGTCATCTGAACTGTCCTTGTCAGCAGATGTGTTGAGTTCATTGGGATTTCTTTTCTTTTCTTTCTTTCTTTTTTTTTCTTCGAGACAGGGTTTTTCTGTGTAGTTTTGGTGCCTGTCTTGGATCTCACTCTGTAGACCAGGCTGGCCTCGAACTCACAGAGATCCACCTGCCTCTGCCTCCTGAGTGCTGGGATTAAAGGCATGCGCCACCACCGCCCAGCTCAATTGTGACTTCTTAAAGGGAGGAATTAGTTAAAAGAAAGTTTTTTCCCACATTAAACTATGGGAAACATTTTTACAATGGAGGTAGTTTGGTCTCTGTTTGATAATACTATTGATGGCCTGAAAAAGGAACAATTAAATGAGAGGATAATTAATGTTGATGGGATTTATGTAATGTCAATTATAAATATTATTTGATCTTTTCTGTTTCATCATTTAAAAAGCTGGTTAATATGAGTATCAAGATAAAAGTTTTTAGAAAAACCTGATAAAACAGATCATAAAGACATTCAGACCCAGACAGAAGAATTTAAAGAAGAACCAATGTCAGCATTGCATTATAAGGTTACAGAGAAACAGCCTAAGGCTTACAAACAGCCAATCTTAATTTATCCAGTAACCTTACAGGAGCTGCCAAATGATAGCTATCCCCTGACTGTGTATGAACTGAATGGACTCCTGTGCAAACGTTAAGATTTGAGGAGATTCAAAGAAGCAATAGTCTCATATGGCATCCACTCATCTTTCATAAAGCAGATGTTAAACTCATGCTCAACTTGTAATAGAATTATTCCTCAAGACTGGACAGATTTGGTTACAGCCATCTTAGATGGAGGGTCCCCAATTACAATGGAGGACCTAGTGGAAGGTTGAGGCTAAGACCACTGAACAATGGAGTAGGGCTAGAGGTACTGAAATTCCCCAAGATAAACTTCTTGGAGAAGGCGATTATGCTGATATGCAAAGACAATCTTTATATGATGACCACACCCTGGCTTTATGCCGCATGGCAGCCTTGAATGCTTGGGACAGAACTGAAGAAGTAGTAAAGAAAATTGAGTCATGTACTAAAGTAATCCAGGGCCCAAAAGAAACCTTCACTGATTTTTTACAAAGATTGACTTCAGCAGTAAATAGAATGATACCAAATTCTGAATCTAGACAGATAATAATTAATCTCTGGCTTTTAAAAATGCTAATGCACAATGCAAAAGGGTAATTAGGCCATTAAAGGCAAGATCAGCACCCTTGGCAGAATGGATCCGAGATACAATAAATTTTGAATCTCATGACCATGACCATGGTTGGATAGGTAATTTCCAGAGGTTTGAAGAAAAATCATAACGTCAAATGTTTCAATTGCGGTAAACAAGGTCACCTAAAAAGGGACTATAAGCAAGATGTTCCTAGAAACAATGTTTTTTCAAGGAACAATAGCAACAGCACACCCCTCCCTTCTGGATTATGTAGAAGGTGTGGCAAAGGCAGACACTGGATTGATGAATGTAGATCAACAAGGGACAGACAAGTTAATCCCTTGCCTTTGCCATCAGGAAAATCCCTGAGGCACCTCTCAAAGGCCCCCATGTCAATTCCATTCAGTCCTTTCCAGTCATCATGGAAGAAACTCCTTCCCAGAGCAATTAAAGAACCTAATCCCTATTGTAAAAACCATACTGCTCTAGATGATAGAACTATAGAAGAGAGAACAAAAAATTCAGGAGAAACCATAAATCACAATAGATAAAGGTTAGATTTGGAACCTTTCCAAAGTTAGGGTTGGGGAAGGGTTTTGTTTTTGTCTTTCCAGGAGAATAAAGGCATCCAGCTAAGAAATCTGAAGACCACTGGACAAATGAGACATCTGAAGAAAAAGGACAAATCATCCAGAAAACTTGTCCCACAAAAAAAGATTTTCTGCAGTGAACCATGACCACACCTAACAGAGACTTTGAAGTCTCCAAAAAGAAGATGGGACCCTACAACTGCGATTCCATCAGGACAATGACAACACCATTAAGTTGACAAACACCACCCAAAGATCAGTTTGGACTACAAACTGCTCAGGACAATATAGAGATCATAGCTGAGATGATATAGCCTCACAAGACTACTCCGATCAGTACTTCACCATAATCCTAAATTTTCTTTATGTCCCCATAAGACTACCAGTGCCCCCAATCAGCAGGAAGTAGCCTAGAAAACTACGCCCACATTCCCAAAAAATGGATTATGGATGTTTGTTTTTGTTTAGGGGTTGGTTAAAAATTGTTATTGGTCATAGTCAATCTCTTTCTAAAAGAAGAAAGAGGGATATGATATAGAAATGTATTATATAGAAATGACAGGATAAAAAGGTAGATTATTGAATCTACTCTTAAAAGAGAGAGATTTAGAAATGACAGGATAAAAGGATAGATTATTGAATCTATTCTGAAAAGAAAAAAGGGAGAATATGGATATGGTAAGATAAAAAGGTAATTATTGAATCTACTTTTAAAAAGCAACTACTTGTTTTAATTTTTTTTTTTTTTTTTTTTTTTTTTGGTTTTTTGAGACAAGATTTCTCTGTGTAGCTTTGCGCCTTTCCTGGATCTCCCTTTGGAGACCAGGCTGGCCTCGAACTCACAGAGATCTGCCTGGCTCTGCCTCCCGAGTGCTGGGATTAAAGGCGTGCGCCACCACCGCCCGGCCTTGTTTTAAATATTTTACATTGGATTGGATTTTTGTATATTATATACAAATTATGTCTATTGATACAAATTTGAGGTTAATTTTGTTAGAATATACTGTACATATATTTCTACTCTTGTTCAAGGTATTGTACCTATACAGTAATTTAACAATGTAATGTAAATTGCTAGTCCTTGAAAATTATTATTACCAACTATTTAGGATAATAAAGAAATGCAGGTTAGTTGTTAGTCACGTATTACAATGGAACTTGTCAGGTTAGGTATGTTTTCAAGGTCAAACAGATATATTTTAGATAAACAGATTGTCTTCAAACACTTCAGAGATCTATAGAATATGGCATTTAAGATGTTTTAATAACATAGTTTTGATTTTTGTTTTTTTTTTTTTAATGACAATGAGACAAGTCTGCTCCTGACAGTACCAATCTACTTCAGAGAAGATGATGGATGTTGAAGAAACTCTTTATGGAGTTTATTTTCTTTGTGGCAAGTTAGCCACTGGGCAAGAAAATGTCATTGCCTCGACTGCTGACAGTATGCTGTCCAAATGGACAAGCAGGACACAAAAGAAAGAACTGCTGAATTTTGCCAAGACAAAGTAAGACAGCCCTTCAGAATATCCTGCTTCACAGATACGTCTGTCAGATATTCTAGACCTACAGGCCAAAGATGGATGCCCCAATGTTGCAGAAGAACCTTGGGTAACTGCCCAGGCAGCCAGCTGTTTCTATCATTTCTCACATATTTTGGAAGTCGCTTGTTTGCATTTCCTGTTTACTTAGGTAATTTTATTTCCTTCTTGGGTCTCTGGGGGAGTTGAAGACTAGATAGTTATAGTTTTTCTTGTTAACAAATTCAGAAAAGAAACTAACTGAAGAGGTATAAAGTGTATAAGTTCCGGGGCTGGAGAGGTGGCTCAGAGGTTAAGAGCACTGACTGCTCTTCCAGAGGTCCTGAGTTCAATTCCCAGCAACCACATGGTGGCTCACAACCATCTATAATGAGATCTGGTGCCCTCTTCTGACCTGCGGTCATACATGCTGTATACATAATAAAAAAAAAAAAAGTGTATAAGTTCCAAAAACATCAAAAAATAGTTTGGGGTTGGTAATACAAGTTAGAATAGAATGTGAATTAGGTACCTCATTTTGGACTCATCAAAATAGGATAAATAATGGACTATTTTCTCTGAATCTGTCAAATGTTAATGGACTAGACATTGTTAATGTAATTCTTGACTGTATATATTGTATATAGTTATTGTACTTATTGTATATAGTTTTTCTTATATTAGTAATAACCTTCTTTTATTATTTTAGACAAAAAAAGGGGGAATGTGGTAATATATTGTATACTCTAATAAAATCTGCCTGAAAGTATGCTCACACTCGGGAAAGTACAGACCTGATACAGTAACAGAAAATGGAATGCACAAGCTCACCTGCCAGCATGCTCACCACGGAAAGCAGGATCTTCTCTACACTCTGCACAGGGCTCCACCGCTCAGCACTGCTCTCATAGCCCATGGGATCGTCGCCTGGGGCATGCAAGATGGAGATGCAGACTCTCCCGTCAGGATAGACTGCAAAATTCAGAGGCAGCCATGTGAGCCCAGATACGATGCCACTGTGCTGGGGAAGCTCTACAGACAGAGGCCCAGCTGTTTGCACAGCAGTAACAGGACACTTCCTGTTGGCACAAATCCCAGAGAGGCCTACCAGCAGCAGGCCAGACCTTTTGGGGATTGATCAGGTACTGTGGTCACTGGATGACAAGGGCGCTTGGGATCAGGTCTACCTAGCACTAACTAGTCACAACTGGATTCCACCTTGTTATAGATGTCTCTGAACATTATCACCAAAAGGAGTAAGTGAAAAGTGAGTGGACAAATATTCCACAATTCAAGCACCCAGAAATCAAGATTCTTCACAGGGCTCTGCAGCACAGGTTTTAGACATCCCTAACTCAGCTGGCAGGACCACCCCCAAATCGATGTCCATGTGGCCAGAGTAGAGGCAAGGCACTGAATTACTTAAGTGCAAAGAAGGGGGTGGGCATTTAACAACACACCCAGTTCAAAATTATTTTTACAAAATAAAAAGGCATCAATTTGGGTTGGAGAAGCAGTTCAGTGGTTAAGAGGATTGACTTTTTCCAGAGGACCAGGGTTTGACCAGCACCCACATAATGGCTCAGAACCATCCTTAACTCTAATTCCAGGGGATCTGACTCAAGTCTTCTGGCTTCTGTGGGTACCATGAACATGTAAAACAGATACACATGCAGCTAAAATACCCATATACATAAAATAAAATTGAAATAAATTAAAAAAAAACTAGTGACAAATAAGTAAATGTCTTATTTTTACAAAATAGAATATCCTACTTGAATTTCTGTTCCAGGATCAGATTTTTAAGATCAGGATTATTAGTGGCAATAAAAATCATTTACAAGCAGAAGCATTACTCTAAATACCATTATTCAAAATACAACACGTTGCCCCATTTCTCTTATGTATACTGGGCATATTGACATATGTGTGGAATCTAGCACTTGGGAGATGTAGTCAGGAGTTCAAGACCATCCTGGGCAATATGAACCCTATATCAAGCACTTCACCCCTCAAATTTCTCTTATATATAATACCTACTTGTAAAAGGAAGAAATTAATTAAATAAATAAATAATCCCAATCAGAGAAGAGTCCCTGGCAGTATTATTGTACCCCCTTCCAGACACTTGCACAAACTGTTTTCTGAAGATAAAACTCAGAGCACTATTGAGTACTGGCTTACTTCCCAGTCAACACTAAACTTGAGCGCATCACCATGCCACCTCTATGGATTCTTAACCTCCAGTCCAACTACAGCATTCCTTAACTCTGCTGTAGGAAGACTGGGCTGACTCCAGTTTTTGACTGTGCATGAGTGTTTTGCTGTATGTATGTCTGTGGAAACACAAGAGAGTCTGGTTCCAGAGAGGCTAGCAGAGGGTATCAGATTCCCTGGAGCCTTGGTTGTGAGCAACCATGTGTGCACTGGGAGCCAAATCTGAGTCCTCTGCAAGAGCAGCAAGTGCTTTGAACCACTAAGACATCTCTCTAGCCCAATTCCAATTTTCCACCATTAAAAATATACTGTGACAGCCGGGCGGTGGTGGCGCACGCCTTTAATCCCAGCACTCGGGAGGCAGAGCCAGGCGGATCTCTGTGAGTTCGAGGCCAGCCTGGACTACCAAGTGAGTTCCAGGAAAGGCGCAAAGCTACACAGAGAGACCCTGTCTCAAAAAACCAAAAAACCAAAAAAAAAAAAAATATATACTGTGACAAAGGCCAGTGTAGGCCACAAAGCACTCAAGGCCTGAAAGTTCTAGGAAGCCCATTAATGCAGGATGGCTGGGCCAAAAAGCTAGTGTTAAGTTCATACATTTTTTTTTTTCTCCTCTACATTAAGCTGATCTTCAAAATAGAAATCCTGGTGCTCACACCATAACTGATTTGCCCCAGTTTAAAAGCTGGCAGCCATTGGAGACATGTGCGTACAGTACTGGTGTGCTGCATCCAATGTACCTGCAGGACCCCTTGCCTCTTATTAACAACGCAGCATTCTGCTGCCTTGTCAACCACATTCAGACTCACTTACTGTTGGGATGAAACATCTCGCAGGTGAATCTCATCTTTGGAGGACTCAAGGGGTAGTCAAGTGGGAAACTCAGGATGGCAGGAAAAACACCAAACTCAAAGCAAGTGTCTTCAGGGCCCCTGCAAATTAGGAAATATATGTAATCACAGTGCCTGCCCCGACTCAGACATGGGAGAAGGAACCAGGAGCTCTGTTCCAGCTGTTTCAGACCCGAGGTACAAACACAAGCTGAAGCACAGGCGGCAGAGCTTTGCACAGCAACTGCACCAGAGAGACACCCCAGAATACTTCGGCCCTCAGGAGGTGGCCGTCGCTGAGGTCCAGATCCCGTGAGGATCGAGGTGTGAACTGTAGCAGAGAATAATCAAGAGCCTCTGTACAGTCATGTGAGGAGCTAATGAATGTATTTCAAAGGATATTTTGATCTTTCCAGTGTGCCTAAGATGTGATTTTATACCCATCAAACAGAAAGGGTACACATGTGATCCTCAACTCATGCTCAGTGTGAAAGAAGCCTAGGCCACTGGGCAGTGGTGGCACACTCCTTTAAACCCAGCACTTGGGAGGCAGAGGCAGGCGGATCTCTGAGTTCAAGACCAGCCTAGTCTACAGAGTAAGTTCCAGGACAGCCAGGGAGACACAGAGAAACCCTGTCTCAAAAGACCAAAAATCATAAAAAATGAACAGCTCTGCCTCCCTGTGACAGCAGGTCTAACACAGAAAGAACCCTCTTAACACAGGGATAAGGACCTGGACTTCCACAGACGGGGAAAATTAGGAGATGTAAAAGCCATCTTTACTTACTAGAAAAGAATTTCTTAAAATCCAAACTTAGCTGGGTGTAGTGGTGCCTGACGTCTAGGGCAACTGGTCTACACAAGCTCTTGTCTCAAAACAACAACAAGGGGTGGGTGGGGAGGGGTGGCCAGTGGTTAAGAACACATACTGCTCTTCCAAAGGACCCGAGTTTGATTCTCAGCACTACAAGGGGCAGCTTGCAATCACCTGTAATTCCAGCTACAGGGGGATCCAACTCCTCTGACTTCTGTGGGCACTTGTACTTATGACTCAAGCACCCCCCCACATATACTTAAAATAACAAAAATCAATCGGGGGCGGGGGGGGGGGGGCAACAAAGGTCGGGGTAAAAAGCTCATTCTGTAAAGTCTCATGCAAGCCTGAGAGCCAGGGTTCAAGCTCCAGAGCTCATGTAAACAGGCAGGTGAAAGGTACACGCTTTTGACCCAAGCACTGGGGAGGTGGAGCTAGGGGAACCCCCTAGGCTCACTGGTCAGTTAGCCTCACCAAATCAGCAAATCCCAGGCCAATGAGAGACCCTGTCTCAAAAAGCAAGTGGTCCTGATGAACATCTGAGGTTGATCCCGTCTCCACACATATGTGGCACATCTAACCATCTGCATGCACAAATGTATACATCACACATACATATTGTTCCCAGATAAAACACCACAAAAAAAACAACAACACAAATATGTTTAAAGTTTTGATAAAGTTATTTTAGATCAGTGATACACAGATCTGTAAAATACTTGCTGCACTATTTATCTCCACAATTAAGAGAGCAAGGAAAAAAATTTAATTTCGTTTGCAGTCACACCCAGGGCTTCGAAAGAACAATGCAGTGTCTTGTTAAGCCAAGTTTTTTTTCTCAGTGACAAGCCTTGACTCTGGAAAGCGATCCTGTGCTACTTCAAAAACAAGATGAATAGCTTTTCTGCTTGGAGGGATGACATGCTGCCTGACAGTCCCCTGGGGTCCTGGCACCAGGCCAAGGCAGAGGATGCCCTGAGAAGCAGCAGCACAGTCACCTTCACAGGTGTGGTCCAGCTGAGTTTTCCTCTCTCCCGCCTCAGGGGCCTGGATGGAGCCCTGAGCCCTCCGTTCTCTCCTAAGTCAATCTGTCTAGCACTGTAGAGGGAACTCACCTATCAGCACTTCCCATCCTCCTGAACTAAGGAGGTCAAGGGGACTGCTGCTATTTTACTATTGACCAAAGCTGGGAGATGCACAATGTAGTCTTTAAAACTGCAAGGTTTGGACAGAAGGTTGGACAAACAAAGACACTGTCTCAGAAGTAATCCTGCTGGCCAGGCCTGGTGGTGCAAGCTATTAGTCCCAGCACTTGGGAGGCAGAGGCAGGTGGATCTCTGTGAGCTCGAGCCCAGCCTGATCTATATGGAGAGTTCCAGGCCTGTCAAGGTTACATAACAGAGATTAATCCTGTCTCAAAAGGAGAGAGACAGACAGACAGACACAGACAGAAAAGATTGAGACAAACATACCCTGTAGGGCCTCACTACGGTTGGCACCAATGAGTCTAGAGTGAGAAAAAAATGGGTAGTGTCCTTGGAATGAGCTACATGGCATTTGCTCAATGCTTTGATAACAGGTCTTTGTTTCTCATAATGGGGCTTTCTTTAAAAAAAAAAAAAAGTCTACTGGGTTGTTCACAGCATCAGAAGCATGACCCAACATTTCCTCAAGTGCACCCACATCTTAAATAGCAAAGCTGTTTGTGCATACGCAGGCCCACTGCCGGTTTAAACTGGGGTTTCCTTCTCTTTTCCAGCACGCCTGCCCCTGAGCAGGTATGCAGGTGGCAATCTGTGCAGGGACATGCCTGCCAAGGTGGGAAACGCCACAGAGAAGCTTCCTGCCCGGGACAGGGAAACAACCAGTAGCTTTAGACAAGTTTCACTCCCCACTTCTGGAAGTGAAGACCCTCACCTCACAGAACAGGAAAGGAAATAGAACAGCCAACGCACACACAATCTCTTGCGCCTACAAACAACTTTCCATCTACTGATTGCAAACACTGCCTAACTTCCTATTCCCCAGCACACCATTAGAGTAGTGTGTTATAACTGCTGTCCTTGGGGAATGCCTCCTTACAGGCCTCACTGGCTTCTTGTCTACAAACAGATGTGGAAGAATGACCAATGACTGTCATTCCTGTCCTGGCTGACTGCCTTACTCAGCCTGTCCTCCAGAGCTGCCTCAGACCACATCAGCAACACACCTGTAACCACGGAACTCTAGCCAGAAGCTTGCCTTTCATTTTTGGATGCTGCAAGGTGGAGAAGCCTGTGCCTAGAAGGCAGAGGGTCAGAGCAGCCTCCCAAAGCCACAGTTGTTTGGCCCCGCCTCGAATGTTCGAGAAGCCGCTTTGCTGCTCTCTTTAGGAAGTGTCTCAACAGATGAAAGACTGTCTTACACCACTGTAATTGATGAGGTGTTAAAATAACAGACTGTCCCTCTCTTTGGAACTCAGAACCAGAGATGAATTACTAGAGATTGCTAATCTCCGCAGTAAGGCTAGCTAGAATACACAGCATACAAAGTGGGCAAACCTACAAACACCCTCCCTACAGCCTGCAGGTCCCTCAGCAACACCCATCAGGAGTGTTCCACTCCAGACTTCAATGAAGTCTTCTCCAGCGGCTCCTATCTCACCAGGGCCCAGATCTGGCCACACTCTGGGCCGATGGGAGTTGCTGGCTAGGCAGCAGAGGTCACCAGAGACTTGTCTACTCCCAGGATATAACATCTTGTTGGCAACAGGACACCATGGTAGGAAGCTGTACCTTGGAAAAGGGTCCACATGCACCTTTGTTGTCCCAGCAACTTGAATAGAGAGGGATCCCCTGATTCTTCTGAGGTATTCAAAAGATCCTTCCACTGCCAGAACCAGGGTAGTAACAAACAGGGTTTGTTCCACATTGTAATTTCAGGTCAACTCTGTCCAAAGGAGTCACAGCCACATCCTAATGTGTTTGCATTAGAGACACTGCTAGAAAACTTAACTACACCCTCCCTCATTTTGAAGGGCACGGAGTGTTCTGAGAACTGCAGAGTGAATTCTAACACAGAGGATCCCTTGTCTAACATAAATGCTAACCTTACTCATGTTGGAAAATATCCAAATACAGAAATGTGTAAGCAAAACAGCTAACACTCCTCCTTCACCCTGCCTGTGTCCTTCCCTGAGAAGACTGAGCAGCGAGGATCTGCAGGCTTTCCTGTGTGTGTAGGGACACACACCCTAGCAACGAGAGCGGATTACTTTGGAGTTAAAATTGTATCATGGTAATGAGCGATGGTAATGACGTTCTCAAGGTCAAGAGTTTGAAACCCTGAATAAACGAACACCCCACACTTCCAGACCGGAGCACTGTAAAACTAAAGCTCCACCAGCCAGACAGTGTGGTGTGCGGCAGAAGGACGAAGCAAGCCCCTGAATGATGGTTCGTGTTATTTTGACAGATGCTGAGAGGACTCAATGGGCAAGTGGGCGGCCACAGGCAGAGCGAAGGCCGACTCCTACACTTCATTCCTTACACAAGTGGGCGGCCACAGGCAGAGCGAAGGCCGACTCCTACACTTCATTCCTTACACAAACCTAACTGAAAAGAACCAAGGGTGAGTGTAGAGAGCTACAAGCTACTGGGATATTACCACTGCTTGTCACCCACCAGGCAGGGCGACGGCAAAGCCAGCAGTATCAGGCTGCCAGGAGACAAGCAGGGGCCAAAAGTACTAGGGACAGAAGAGGCCCTAGAAACCAGCAATCTGAGGGAGGAGAGGCCCCCAGTCACCAAGGAAAAAAAGCCCAGCCCGCTCTCTGCCAAAACAGCAGGGTGAGACAAAGCCACAGGAGGACAGTTAATTCCTTGATAGATGTTTTAAGAACATTTGTAAACGGCCTCTTGTTTGTGAAGGGTCTGGAACAAGACCAAAACCCACAAAGTCACTAGATCTTGGAGCAGGGGAATTCCACACTAACGCAAAAGCCTTATTCAAACACAAACGTGCTCTCCTGAAAATCAGTTGTAATTACTTTTTAAGACAGGTTTTCAAAATATTTGTTTAACTTTATACTGTTTATCTAAAATTAGTAATAGTTAATTCAACAGACTTTTAACAATGCACTTTTTAAAATCCACACTAGAGAGCTCAACTGTTCTTTAATGAGCTTCTAAACCCATCTGTGGACACATATGAGCCAACATCTTCCAAATATGACAGGCTCATCAGGTGCCCTGACCTCTGCAGGCTTCCTAACAACCGCTGCTCCTACAGCTGGCGAGCTGCTGTGATGGCATGTGAGCGAGTGCAGGTGTGTCTGTGTTGACACAGGACATGGCAGATGAAACAAACAGGTCACACATCAGTTCACACACATGATCACCTGCTTCTTTAAAAGCAAACAATGCCTGGGGAAATGGCTGCAGGCCAGGAGTTTGATCCCCAGCTCTGTAAAGTGAGTGAAAGAAAAGTAAACAGAGCTCCACCTGACACGGCCCCCAGCAATGACCTGGCTAGGGGCAGCAATGGCCACAGGCCTGTATCATCTCACCGAAAAGCAAGAGAACCCTCCCTCTTATCCGGCTTCACCAATGTCTGATGCTAACAATCAGCAAGTTCCAGAAATGATTCCTAAGTTTTAAATAACTTGCATTATAGAATACTGTCAATTTTTCTGTTTTATTTGTTTGGTTTTGGTTATTGTTTGGTTGGTATTTCAAGATGAGGTTTCTCTGTATAACAGCCCTAGCTGTCCTGGAACTCATTCTGTAGATTGTAGTTGGCTTTTTTTTACTCTTTGGGGGCCCACCCAGCTCCCAAATAAATACACAGAGACTTATTCTTACTTATGAATGCCCAGCATTAGCTTGGCTTGTTTCTAGCCAGTTTTTCTAACTTAAATATCCTGTTTCTCTTTAACTACCTCTTGCCTCTGGGCTTTTACCTTTCTTTATTCTATATCTCTTTCTTTCCTTCTTACTCCATAGTTGACTGTGTGGCTGGGCAGCTTACCCCTGGCATCCTCCTCTTCTCCTTTTCTTGTTCTTCCCTCTTCTCTACTCTTCTAGATTTCTCCTTTTTGTCTTTCTGCCTGTTTCTCTCTCCTGCCTAGCTATTGGCCATTCAGCTCTTTATTGACCAATCAGGTGTTTTAGGCAGGCTTTACACACAGCTTTACAGAGTTAAACAAATGCAACATACAAGAATGCAACACATCTTTGCATCATTAAACAAATATTACCCAGCATAAATGAATGTAACACATCTTAATCTAATATTCTACAACAGTAGACCAGGCTGGCTTTGAACTCAGAGATCTGCCTGCCTCTGCCTCCTAAGTGCTGGGATTAAAGGCGTGGGCCACCACCATGCCAGCCAATTTCTTTTACTAGCTCTTGCTATTACTGTTACAGCCCAAAGTTTCCAGCATCCACCAGAAACTCAGAACAGATCCCTCAAGTACGCAAGGCTCAAGTGTACCACGGCACACACAGACTCCAGAAAACTTAGAAAAAAATGTGACGCAGCTCAAGCAATGAAGGTCTAACAAACATCAGGTCTGGGGCACTTTCTCTAGATAGTGTTTATGGATGACTTAAAAAATAAAATCAAGGCCGGGCGGTGGTGGCGCACGCCTTTAATCCCAGCACTCGGGAGGCAGAGCCAGGCAGATCTCTGTGAGTTCGAGGCCAGCCTGGTCTACAGAGCGAGATCCAGGAAAGGTGCAAAGCTACACAGAGAAACCCTGTCTCGAAAAAACCAAAAAAAAAAAAAAAAATAATAAAATAAAATAAAATAAAATAAAATCAAAACCCCTCACTTTCACTCAGCTTTCATGCATGGCCTAACCTTCACAGGCAAAACTTACCAGTAATTTTCCCAGGCCAACTTGTAGATCTTTAGGCACTAATATGCCAGGCCTATAATACTAGCAACTCAGCAGGCTGAGGAAAAGGGTTCAAAAGCTCAAGGCCTTTTCTGAGCCACAAGAGTGAGTTCAAGACCAACCTGGTGAATTTAGCAAAACCTTGTCTCAAAGTTAAAAATAAAAAGGGCTTGGGCATAGGTGATGCAGTGTTCTGACAGCATGTACAAGGCTCTGGGTACTGAGGGTGGGGTGGACATACGGGTGGGGGTGGACACACGGGTGGGGATGGACACACGGATGGGACACAGCACCAATGTGCTGTAAGCACAGACATAAACAAATCCTGCCTTGCTCAGAGCTCACACTTGGATAAGTAGCCAAACCTCTTTCCCCACCTTGCCCCCCAGAGTACTTCTCAACCAAGCTGAAACACTGGAGTTAATTGGAAATTTTTATTGACTGAGAAACAGATTACAGAGTGCAGCTTCCTCAGTTCTACATAACCTCATTTTCTTGGACATCGAAGGTAGAAAGAAGAATGCTAAACAGGCTGAGTATGGACTAGAGAAGAGGACACTCTAGACTCAGGGTCCCCTGTTTCTCTTCTAAGCAACCTGATTGTAAGTTAAATATCACAAAATCCAGACTGGGGATAGGAGTCACAGCTCACTTTGGAATAAGCCGCATCATATTCAGAGCCATGAACAGTGAAGGCCTGCATGCCAGAGAAGGCAAACAGAGAAATAGGAACCAGAGGTTGGGTGGGGAGGAGTAAAGGGGAAGAAACAGAGGCCCTGGCTTTTCAGGTCTAATGCTGTTCCAGGGGGTCTGTCTGGTCACCTACTACTTTATTTCTACTAGAAAAGCCACCCACACTATTTGAGGCAAATCCACCACAACCACTGCATATTATGGGATATAAATATTAAAGGGACACTAGGCCACTGAGCATGTGGCTCTGGCAGGCCTCGCCCTTCTCCCCCATTCCCTCTGCCTTAGTAAAAACCGTTAGATTACATTCTTAAAGCTAGCCCGCAAGGTTCATTCCTTATTTGGCCACTTCCTCCTCCTGAGGCCGACTACCAAGGTCCAGCTGTCCAAGTACTGAAGTCCAGCATCAAAAGCCCCTAATTTAATTTGGCTCCCCTAATTAACATGCCCAGTTAAAATGAAGCACTCATCCTAACATGGGGTTTCCCCTTGTACCTTCATAAACCGCCGTTTTCCTATGTGCCACATCTGTCTCCTCTCTATCCAGAGGCCGTCCTCTGTCCCTCCGGGACAAACACCCTGCCCCCTTTCCTCCCTCCCTTCCCTTCTCCCTCGTCCTCTATCTCCTCTCTTTGTCCCTTATCCCTGCCCTCTGTCCCTCTGGGAAAATAAATCTCCTTTGTGCTGAGAACTGGGTCTTGGGAGCCCTAAGCCAATACTTTCCTTTCAGATACATATTGATAAATATACACATATGTTGTTTTCTTTAGCGTCTGACCATGATTCCTGGTTTCTAAGTCATTCCTCCGGGTCAAGCCTTCAGCATTTACACAAACTGCCCAAGCCGTGCCATAAGAAAATTCTCTGACTTAACTTTCCCCATGACAAGTGCTAAGACCTTCCTCCTTCCAGAAGGGTCTGGGCTCACGACCTTGAGGAAGCAATGCACACAGAGAGGTCAAGAAACTGACTAGACAGGCCCAGCTGGGCTTCCACGCCGGGTATCAGGGTCACATGTGCCGTGAGCCGGCACCAGAGAAAGGAGACGGGCATTACAGGATGGGTTTGGAGCCTGTTGCCAACCCACGTGTGGCAGCTCACAGGAGGAACAAGAACTCACCACGTGCTACAAAGTACCTGTGCTCACGACTGTCTACAACTCTAGTTCCAGAGAATCTGAGACACCAGGCACACATGTAGTCAAAACACTCATACTTCAAAAGCACCCTACAAGAACTGTAAATGTGAGTCAAGTGTCTCCCTTTCAGGGAGCAGCCACAATGATGGAGTCATATGAACCCCAACTTCTAGCTAGTCACAAGTTCCAGAGACTCAGACTTAAGACTAGGCCTGCAGAAAGTCTGTCCTGGAGACAGAAACCTCAGCCTGTGGGACCTGCCGCTCTCCAGACAGTGTCGTGACTGCACAGGATCAAAGCCCACTGGATACTCAAGAGCTGGATGGGGCTCTGGTGGGGAAACTCCACAGCTCAGGGGACACAGAAGCTTTCTGGGTTGTCCACGGTGTAAAAGCAAAGGGCTAAGTAAGGTATTGTTTCTTCCTAACATAACCACACATTAAAAACCGCCATTGAGGGCCGGGCGGTGGTGGCGCACGCCTTTAATCCCAGCACTCGGGAGGCAGAGCCAGGCGGATCTCTGTGAGTTCGAGGCCGGCCTGGGCTACCAAGTGAGTTTCAGGAGAGGCGCAAAGCTACACAGAGAAACCCTGTCTCGAAAAACAACAACAAAAAAAAAAAAAAAAAAAAAAAAAAAAAAACCGCCATTGAAACTACCCAGAGCTAATATTCACAACTACATCTTTATTGGGTCTAAGGAAACACTGTCATCTCCTTTGGATCCATGTTCACCTGGATTCTGCCCAGAGAACAGCTGAAAGCTAAAAGCCCACTTGGGCCCAGTCAACATTTCAGAGTAGAGATTCTTAGACCTAGTTTCCAGTAAAGCATAAAAAAAAAAAGAAAGAAAAAAATAGTAACTCACACAATTAACTTACATGATCAATGCCTCCCATTCAAAAAAATTCTCTTCATTCATGGGGCCTGCAGGGAAAGAAAAGAATCCACATCTTACTTAGAAGGCAACTTTGGCAACTGGAAGAAAATTATAATGAAGTCACTCAAGCCCCTTACCTGCCACAATTCCTTCTGGAGGATTCAGGGTTAATTCTGTAAAGGTAAAGAACAGAGCCATTACCAGACAGAACGTGTGTTATACTGTCATCACTTAGCAAAGCACTTTCACGAGTCATATGAACTAGATTACAGTGTACATTTCTCCCAAGAGGGCAGCTCTCTGTGTCCAAAGGAATGCCCAGCCCCGAAACCAACACTGGCTCTGAGCAGCCCTTTACACCAGTAAGAAGTGAAAACAAAGGGGGACAGACTACACCTGCCACGCCCCCCCATGGCCCCCCTAACCCCCATGTGCCCTATCTATGCTCCCGCCAGCTCCTCTGACAAATGCTCACCATCTAAAATGGGCTATTTTCTAATTGAATGCCATTTCCTATCCATTTAAGAGTTAGCACAAACCTTTCTGAATGTGACAGAAAGATGAGGCCAGGCTGGGGTTGCAGGGAGTGACCTAATCAGATCGACCACTCTCTGGGTCAGCGATCTCGGCCACCACCCTGCAGAAGCCCAGATGGCCACCCTGATGACGAACGGCGGCCGGTAAGCCTACTGCAGAGTCTCAGCTACTTAAGGCCGGTAGCTGCCGAAGACCAGGTGTCCAGCTCTGCCCCCAGGTGGCGGGTCAATTCTTGCATCATGATTTTTATCTAGGTCATGTTCCGGTCTGGGGTGTGTCCCTAAGAGTCAAGTGTTGGAAGCAGGGTAGGAGTTCTGGGGTGGAGAAGAACATGACCTTTAGGAGGTGGGGGCATGAGGTAGTGTATGTGACACTGGGGATACGACACCAGAGTGGTTACAGAAGCAGCCAGCTGCGAGCACCATCTCACGTACAATCCTGCACTCAAGTCACTACGGCCACCACAATGCTGGCCACCCATCGTCATCCCACAGACCCTCATCTTCTGCTTGGAACTCCAAAAACGTGAGCTGAAAAAAGAAATTTAAGACAGAGTGCCACTGTGTAAAACCTGAACTGGCCTGGAACTCACTGTGTCCAAGGCTGGCCTCAAAGCTGCAGCCACCTTCTGGCCTCTGCCTCACAAGTGAGAGATTTATACGTGCCCCACTGGGCCCAAATGAACACTTTTGCTTAATAAAGCTACTCATATTAGGTATTGTGGTGACGACCAACAGGTGACTATAACCTGTGTGAACAAACACCGCACATCTGTGGACACACTTGGAAAAATGGTGACTGGCAAGAGAAGGCAGCAGCCGCAGGAGGACAAGGCAAACCCAGCAAGGAAGTCAGGACAGGGTGCTCTCTGCCATCTGAGGGCCAGGGAGGTCAAGATGACCGACAGCAAGTACACCCAAGACTTACAGGGCCAACTGGTGGACTCTGGAAAACACAGAAGTTAATAAATCTCTGCCAAACAAATAAGGCAAAAGGGCCAGACACAAAGAATGGAAACGGATCACCCAAAGAAATCTAAAGCCAGTAAGAAAGGGTGAGCTGCTCCAAGTTGCTCTGAGGTCAACATCTACAGGTGAACGGGCTTCCTTCCTTCCGCACACGTGCAGTTAGGAAGTGAGTCTCGTGAGAGAGAACCCATGGACAGAGACCCGAAACCCACAGGAATCTCATGAGAGAGAACCCATGGACAGAGGCCCAAAACTCACAGGATCACAGCTAGACAGTGAGGGGTCTTTGTTTTCACAGAACAAACCTCACTTTCACTTTGAAAAGCTTCAGGGCCAGGAACACTGCTTACTGCCTGCCCTGCTCCCTGGAGAGGAAGGAAGAGAAAGAGGAAAGAGAAAAGGACGGGGAGGGGGAGGGGGTGGGAGGAATGCCCAGCACCACAAGCACAGCCTGTCATGGACACACTCCCCACATGGACACCACGGCAAACCCTGCCGAAGCTTCCTTTGGTCAGGGCCGTACGCCATCTCCAAAGGGACCTGCGGCCCCACAGCACGGACCTCTCCAGTCCACCCAGGACTGCACACCGTGCAGACTGTGTTCACGCAGCGGTAGGCAATCCCGGTTGGGATGGCCTCGTTTCCTACAGGCTGTACTGTAGGAAAACCTGCAAGGGTAAAACTCAACACTAGACCATCTTGAGGGCCTCTGGCTATCACCCCAGAAAAGGAAAAGGGGCTAAGTTGAAAGACACACAACAGAGGACATTATTAAGGAGAGGTTCAGCCGGTGACGGCTCTAGCTGCCAAGTCCGAGGACCTGAGTTTGAAGGCCAGGACCCACATGATAGAAAGACAGAACTGATTCCCACAAGTTGTCCTCTGACATTCACATGAATGTCAGTGTGTGCACACCCACCCCCAACACACACAGTAAATGTAATTAAAAATACTGGGGGGGGGAGCGGATGGGGGCTGGAGAGATGGCTCAGTGGTTAAGAGAATTCACTACTCTTACAGGGACACAGGTCTGGTTCCCAGGACCCACCAGAACTGTCAGTAACTCCAGTTTCAGGGGATTCAACACCCTCTTTCCAGCGTCTGCAGCACTGTATATATGTGGTGCACTTTAATACATACAGGCAAACACTCATGAGCATAGGGTAACAAGAGTTGTTGTTTTTTTTTTTTTTTACAGTGAACGAGAGAAACAGGGAGATAATAAGAAGAGGCCAAGCATGAAGAAGGAACAGAAGGCTGTGCAGTCAGATGTGTGCACACAAGGAAGGAAGGAGGCAGACACGAAGAGGTCAAGTACCAGGAAGGCAGGAGCACACCAGGGCGACACACCTCTACAGTCTCTCTCTGACTCTTCACAGGAACAAAGTGGGATCCGTAACAGAACCAGCCTGCCAAGCCTTTACACACTAAGTCATCGGAAATCTAGTCCAGTCACCCCTGATTATAAGAAAACACTTAACAAAGCAGGCAGATGATTTTGAGCTGCTAAAATCTGGGGCTAAGGAATGCTGTGAGACAAAGGGTACAAAATGCAGCAGAGCTGTAATCTGTACAGGAGTCCCCTGTGGAACGTCCCTGGGACACCACCTTTCCCTGCGAGAGAGAAGGGGAGGTCAAGCCTGGGCTGGAGAGCAGCTATGCCGAGACCCAGGCTCTGCACAGCCAGCATCACCCCACCCACTTCGCTATCCAGCACTGCCACCTGCTGGTCAGTAATGAACTGCAGTCAACGGCGGAAAGGCTTCAAGACAGGTAACACACACAAAACCACACAGTTCCATGTTTACTGATAAAGAAATCCCAGAAGAGAAACAACTACTAATCTATCAGAAATTTTCAAAGACTATTCCCTGAAAATGATAATTTGTTAAAAACTACTTTTCTTAAAAGTAGCTTAAGAAATAGCCACTGCATCAATGAAATATACAAATCTGTTCTCGAATTCAATGATTCCATTTCTAGAAGCCAATCACACCGATAGACTGGTAAAAACAGGGAAGATGGCTGCAGAGGTTACTCCTTCAATAAACAATGTTTCTTGTTGATACAAAAGCCCCAAAGTCGACAATGGAAAACCAGGGAAATCCAGGGGTCACATCGGCAGGTGCTACACACTGCACAGGACATGCTGAACAGAGACAATCAGGTGGAGTGTAACTACAGTTCAAGTGAGGTCACTGTAATTAGACCAGGTCCTAATCCAACCTGCCTGTGTCCTCGCTGAGGCCTCAGGTAAACAGGCCTGTCCCACACCCTAACTCTGGAGAGCTTGCCTTCAGGGTTGCAAGAAAATCAGTTTCTCTTGCCTACCTAGTCTAAGGCACAGTCACTCCAGCAACTAACTGAGCTGGAACACTCCCAGATAATGTGCAAAGGAACCCTGGCTTCTCCCAAAAAACTTTGAAATGGATTACAGATATTAACTGTGGAACACCTAGAAGAAATCCTAAGAGAAATCAATCCTTAACAGTTTCTCAAACAGACACAAAAGCAAGAATGTTTTCAAAGTCTTTTTTTTATCTGCCGTTTAAAAGGCAGGATTAGGAGCTGGAGAAACAGCTATGCAGTTCAGAGTCTTTGCTGCCCTTTCAGAAGACTAAAGCAGTGCCCAGCACCAACATCCCAGCTCCAAGGGAATCCCACGCCCTCTTCTGGCCTCCATGGGGTCTGCACACACATGCACATACACACTGAGATTTACATGTAAATAAACATAAAATAAACCTAAAAAGTTTTAAATTAAAGGAACCACTGGACTGGGGAGATGACACGTGGAGTCAAGCCAAGAAGGGAAAATATTTGCAAGGCAAATATCCAATAAAAGGCAATGTTCAAGAAATGTACATCCTAAGGAAACAACACAATTTAAAAATAAGCACTCTTTACATTTCATCAACAAAGACAGGTCAGTAAGCTTGCAATGACCCAACACTGTCAGTTACAAAAGAATTTCATGTTAAGCCACCGGAGACACGAACACAGCAGAACAGGAAGGAGGAACAGCTACAAAGTCAGCAGAGCTGTGGAGCCTCTGTGCTAGTGAGAGCAGACGTGACGTCAGACCACTGGGCAGTGCTTTCTGAAAGTAAACAGGCGTTTATGCAAGAGGAATGAAGACAAGCACACGATGTTCACAGCCGGTCTCCTCACAGCCCAAAGCTGGGCACATCCCAATGATTATCAGGAAGCAAATGTTTAAACAGCGGGCCACACAATGGATTACCACTCTACATTAAAAAGGAACAGCATCAGGCTAGGAAATGACTCAGCAGTTCAGAGCACTGGCTGCTCTTCCAGAGGACCCAGGTTCAGTTCCCAACACTCACATGGCAACTCACAACTGTCTGTAACTCCAGTTCCAGGAGCTCCAACTCCCTCTTCTTCTAGTTTCTGCAGACACCAGGCATGCACCTGGTACACAGACATACATACAGGCAAAAGACTACACACATAGAATAAAAATCAAACCGTTAAAAAAGGAAATGAAACAATCACTGCTCCCTTATCAGTGGATATTCAGGGCAACAGTGGTGTCTGAAAATATCAAAATATCAGTGGAAATTCCCAGAAACAAACAAGTCCTACACATTTTAAATGGCTATTCAGAGAACTCCAGTGCAATCTCACTCCACCCTGGCAAACCCTGCCAGGACTTTTACTAGGCACCTGCCCCACTTCATCACTTGCTACTGTAAGGGTAAGGGGACACTGTACCGAGCCTAGCAGCACGGATAAACCTCAACACAAGTGTGCTGAGTGCAGAGAAGCACCAACACTACAGTGAGTGAAAGAAGACCAGTGCTGTCTGGAAGGGACAGACTGGATCCAGCGCAGGGCATTCTGAGGATGCTATTATTCACAGCTTAGATGTGCCACACACGAACATACAGGAGCAAGCCAGAAAAAGATAGCCCTGTGTAAAGTCTGCCAGAGACAGACATTTCACCAAAAGAGGCAGAGAGGGCTTGTGTACATGAATGAATTGTGCCACCTCTCTCATAATCATTGATATACCAATTAAAGCCCCAGGGTACCATGCAACACCTGCCAGACCAGACGAAGACCCAAAAGGTAGAGTCTAAGTGAAAAGCCTACGCAGCAGGACTCTCTGCTGTGGCGGCCCAGACACACACTGGAAAGGCCACAGGGAAACAGGTTAGCACAGCCAGAAAAACTGGCTGCTCATTCAAATGCTCCGTGGGTCTGAATTATCCTCCAACTGCGAACCCACACACGGGCACCAAGAGATTCTCAAAACTGCTGCTCACAGCTGCAGTACCTACAAAGTCACATGCAAACTAACTTCAGTGTCACAAAAAGAAATCCACTCAGCAAGGAGAGTGACCTGCGGCCACAAGCTCCAAGAGAAAGGAAACTGAGACACAACGCTGGGCAAGAGGTTCCAAAGCAAAAGCAAACAAACAAAAACAGACACTGTATAATTTCTATTAAGTTCACAGACAAAGAAAACATCCACGTCTAGAGATAGAGTGACTGTATAATTTCTGTTAAGTTCACAGACAGACAAAGAAAACCATCCACGTCTAGAGATAGAGTGACTGTATAATTTCTGTTAAGTTCACAGACAGACAAAGAAAACCATCCACGTCTAGAGATAGAGTGACTGTATAATTTCTATTAAGTTCACAGACAAAGGAAACAATCCACGTCTAGAGATAGAGTGACTGTATAATTTCTGTTAAGTTCACAGACAGACAAAGAAAACCATCCACGTCTAGAGATAGAGTGACTATATAATTTCTGTTAAGTTCACAGACAGACAAAGAAAACCATCCACGTCTAGAGATAGAGTGACTGTATAATTTCTATTAAGTTCACAGACAAAGGAAACAATCCACGTCTAGAGATAGAGTGACTGTATAATTTCTATTAAGTTCACAGACAGACAAAGAAAACCATCCACGTCTAGAGATAGAGTGACTGTATAATTTCTGTTAAGTTCACAGACAGACAAAGAAAACCATCCATGTCTAGAGATAGAGTGACTGTATAATTTCTATTAAGTTCACAGACAAAGGAAACAATCCACGTCTAGAGATAGAGTGACTGTATAATTTCTATTAAGTTCACAGACAGACAAAGAAAACCATCCACGTCTAGAGATAGAGTGACTGTATAATTTCTATTAAATTCACAGACAGACAAAAGAAAACCATCCATGTCTAGAGATAGAGTGAGAAGCAGGAAGAAAAGGAAAAGAATGGGAATTCAGGTGGTGCTGGGAAGACGCGTGAAGAATCTAAGTCACTGTTCATGCTCTTTTGCAAGCACGGTATCATGGACACCATGTTACTCAGCTGGCCATTACTGTAACAAAACGCCTGAGACAATCACCTTACAAAGAGGAAAGTTTTAGCTCTCAGTCTTGGGAATTCTGGTGTTGCTGTCTGAGTGCCTGCTTGTGAAAAGGCAGTAGTACATCACAGCAAGGAGCACCAGGCATGGCCAGGAAACAAAGAGGAGTGGAAGCCTAGTCTCAGGGAGCAGATCCTTAAGGGGAGTATGGGGACCCAGGCTTTCGGCTTTGCTTCTTTGTGTTCTGGCCTCTAGGTAAACAGCTTTGCTCTACTTCATGCTCCTACTAGGATGTACTGCCTCACAGTCGAGCCCAGGGATGACTCATGGGTAGACACACTTGCTGCCAAGTACGACAACCCGAGCTCAAGCTTCCCAGGAGCCACACAGTAGAAGGGGAGAACCGACTCCGGCCAGATGTCCTAACTTCTGCACATGCACAGGTACTCACTTGCCCACACACATAAATCCATAAAAATAACCGCAATTTTAAAACAATCTCAACTCTACCCAGAAGTGGGAACAGTGACACTGTCTAGAAATGGGGTCTCAGCAGATGTACCAGAGTTAAATACAGAGCATACTAACTAGACTGGGTCCTAAACCAATGACTGCTAACTTGTCAAGTGGGAGATCTGAATACCCACACACCCAGGATAAGATGGCCACAGGAAGGTACAGGAGAAAAGGAATTATACTAACATACTCAGGAACCCAAGGAAGCCAGCACTACAGAAGCTGAGAGGCAGAAAAGATCTTCCTCCAGAGCCTACCCTGCCAAGGAGCACAGCCCAGCCTGCACCTGGATGTTTAATTCTAATGGTTTCTGTTATGGTAAGCCATCCAGGTGGACACTGTTACAGTAGCCCTGGGCCACTGCTCCCTGCGTCTGTCATAGAAGAAAAGCATTGGGAATACATAACACAAGAGCACACAATGCTCCTGCAGAGGAACCAAGTTTGAGTCCCAGCACCCATATGAAAAAAGAGGTAGGCTTTATTTACTGTGTGTGCCTGTAACCCCAGATCTGGAGGCAAGGGTGGGAACAGGAGGATTTCTGGGGCTAACTGGCCAGCCGTTCTAGCTGAATTGATGAGCTCCAGGTTCAGGGACAGACCCGGTCTCAAGGGAAGAGGGTGGAGCGTGACAAAGCAGGACGTTCAATATCCTCAGCATGCACAGCTGAGTGCACTTGTACCAGAAAGAGGGCGAGCCAGAGGGCAGTCTAAGCTCTTTGCTTGGCTCTTTTTGGTAGTGAGCACAGGCAAATCATTTTGTATCCGTTATTCAACTTCTATAAATTTAAATTTAAATTATAGTTACAATTTAATTAATACAAATTAATTTAAATAATACAAAATTAGGGAGCCTAAAAAAAAGGGGAACTAGAGAGATGACTCGGAGATTAAGAGCACTTGTCGCTCTTTTTTTTTTTTTTAAGATTTATTTACTTATTATGTATACAGAAGAGGGAGCCAGATCTCATTACAGATGGTTGTGATTTATTTACTTATTATGTATACAGAAGAGGGAGCCAGATCTCATTACAGATGGTTGTGAGCCACCATGTGGGTGCTAGGAATCGAACTCAGGACCTCTAGAAGAGCAGTCAGTGCTCTTAACCTCTGAGCCCTCTCTCCAGCCCAGTGTTTGTTGCTCTTACAGAAGACCCAGGTTCTAGTTCAGCACCCACACCAAGGCTCACAAGCAGCTGTTACTCCAGTCCCAGGGGATCTAATGTCCTCTTCTGACATCCACTGGCACAGGGCAAGCATGTGGTACACTTACATGCATGCAATCAAAACACTCAAACACATAAAGTAATAAAATTTAAACAATAAACTACACCCAGAGCCATATCACCTCTCAATCCACAGTACAATCAGGTACGTTGGAACACCTGTCCAAATGTGACTACACTGGTCCTCCCATAGCCGTTCCTGAGCCTCCCTAACACTGGAGCTCACGGTCTTAAACACGAGGACGAACCACACGCTAAGCCATAAAAGAAGGGACACACTCAGTGGGACTTTATAAAATTACACAGACATGGGGGGTGGGGGGGGGAATCCTCACTTCTCATGCTTGGTACTAATGGATGCATTTCCTGTCACTGTTGCCCCAGTCTTAAACAATATCCATTGATGACCTCATGGTTTCCATGTGTCAGTGGGTCTGGGCCCAGCCAGGACAGCTAGGGTGTTTTCAGGGCTGCAACCCAAGTCCATTCAAGCCGCTGGCACAACTCAGTTCCATATGGCCGTAACACTGGTCCCACCCAGACTGGCCGTCAGTCCGAGGCCACCTTAGCTCCCCGCACTTTTTCCTCTCCCAAACAGCCACTGCAGGTGGAGTTGTCTCCCCTGTGAACCCCCTGACCTCCTCTCCAATCTTCCTGTTTTAGGGTCCACTCTTGTAAGCAAATTCTTTCCCTCTCCCAAACTTAGATGATCCATGACCTTAACTGCAAACTAATTGACAATATGGCTGAAATAATGGTTGAGGCTTTTTTGAGGACAGAAGATGAGGACTAAAAATTTCTCTAATGTGAATACCCTTGGGAAATTAAATTCAACAAGCAGTACAAACTGCCGGAACTTGGATCCCTATCCCAGAGCCTTACTGCTGTTTTCTTTTTTCTTTCTTTCTTTCTTTCTTTTTTTTTTTTTTCATAAAAGATGATGCTCCTAAGCCTAGAAACGGGGTTGAAAAAGTAAAACACAGAGAAACACAGATCCGGATGAAAGGACAGGGTCTCCCCAAGTCCCCGAACCCTTGCCTGCGAAACTTTGGTTCGCTGCAGCCCAACTGCTGCAACTCTCACGGGCAGCGTGGCCGGAGGTCTAAGGCGTTAATTTGCTGACTTTCAACTTTCTCCCCAAACTCTCCTCCCCTACCTCACGACCACCTTACAGGGACTACCGGGTCCTCGCTGAGCACCGTCCCCGCAACTGTCGGGAGGGAGGACAGATGCGCAAGCCCACAGGGACTCGGGGACCAGGTCCGGGTCGCAGGGCCATGGCCGGGCTGGCCGAACCCGATCTGCGCCCAGGGCCTGCCCCGCTGCAGCCGGCCGGGGGGCCGGGGCGCGCGGGCGACAGCGACAGCCCGGCCCTCCGCGCGCGGGCTCCTTCAGGCCGGCGCGGCATGCCCACACGGCGCCCGGGCCGGCTCGGGCCGGGGGACACCGCGGGAGGCTACGGGGAAGCGGACGGGGAGGCGGGAGCCGCCCGACTCACGCTTATACTCGGCCATCAGCCTCTTCAGCGCCGTCCCCGCCATACCGCGGAACCTGGGTTCAGCAGCCTCGCCACATCCGCGCCGGTCCCGCCCGCCTGCTCCGACCTCCACGGCTGCTTCCGGGGCGCTGCCTCCGGCCCGAAGTGCGTCCGGGGCGCGCGCGGGTGACGTGGCGTGCCGACGTGGTGTCAGGCAGAGGCCCGAGGAGGTTCGCCTTGGGCTCGCCGCTTCAGGGCCCGGGAATGACGGAGCCCAGGTTCCAGAACCTTGTCGGCCGGCTTCACCCTCAGCGCCGCCCGCCCCGGCTGGCCTCTGGGAGCCTCTCCATGCGGTGTGGTGGCGCTCCAAAGCGCGCAGCTCATCCTGGGGTCCTACTTTGAAAAGTCCTGCGAGGGCCAGGATGTGTTCCATGGATTGTCCCCGAATGAGACGGAGTTCCTTCCTTGCACTTGGCATGCTCCTCATAAGGGTCTGTGCAAGTGCGTGAAACTTGAAGCCAGCAAGATCTCACACACACACACACACACACACACACACACACACACACACACACACACACACACACACAATGTAACTCTGACTGTCCTAGAACTCATTCTATAGACCAGGCTGGCCTCGAACTCACAGAGATCTGCCTGCCTCTGTCTCCCAGGTGCTGGGATTAAAGACCTGTGCCACCACGCCCGGCTTTTCAAGTGACCAGGGTGATTTGAAAAGATGACATTTTGCGAGAGTACCTTGGTTTCTCAAAGGGAGGATGAAGTCCCCATCCTGGGCTATATCCCATCCTTTCTGTGACCAAACCAGTCGGACTCGCTGCCAAGAAATCTGTTCTTCCTCATCACACGCAGCTACCGGGTAGATGTTCAGCATCTTCTTGGTTGCACAACTGCTTTCCCAGGAGGGGTTACAGCTCAAGACACAGGCTCCCCCGGAACAAAAGGGACATGATCCTGCTGGGACCCTGAGTACAGATTTGTGGCTGTTATCTCCTCACAAGTCCATTGAACTCAAAGATTTGAGGCATTAGGTTCGTGTCATTTAACATTATAAAAAAAGAATATCGAAGGATCTGCCATTCCAATTACACATAGCATAAACAATCACATAAGCATAGCCACCTCCCCTCATACACATAAAAGCTGACCTCCAGGCCACACTGCCCTCCTGCTGTTGAGTGTGGGAGAAACACAAGCTATTCTGTTCTAACACATCCAAACATCGAATGGCAGCTACGATTCCCTGGGACAGTTTACGCATGAAATGTGTGCCCCAACAGTCCGTATGTTTGAACACTGGTCACAGTTTTGGAAGACTGGAACCTTTAGCAGATGAGGCCTAGCAGGAGCAAGTGGGTCATTTGGGGAGAGGGCTGAGAAACGCAGGTACTAAAGTCTGCTCACAAAGTTTTATTTCAGGGGGGAACAAGAGGATCATCATCAGAAGCTGGACTGCAACCATTCATGTTGTGATGGGGCAAGACAGTGGAGTTTCCCCCATCTTGTATTTTTGCTGAGGCCATTTTAGGGTTAACTAGAATCTGACCTCCTTGTTGGGAACACTCAACTCTATTCTAGGAACCCAAGGTCAAGATGGCCCAGCTAACTTAGCTTCTGTTAACACCTGGGTAGAACCACCTCCCAGCTAACTGCTTTTAAACTGCTTGCTTGCACAGAACTTTCCTCTGTAGCTGCTGGCTGAGATGCCAGGATGTGGTTTTTGTCTTTAAAAACATCTTACTCCACTCGGGAGGCACAAGCAGGTGAATCTCTGTGAGTTCGAGGCCAGCCTGGTCTACAAAATGAGTTTCAGAATAGCTAGAGCTGTTAAACAGAGAGATCCTGCTGTGGAATGTCTTTCTGTACGCTGTGAATATATGTGTTGCTCCCATTGGCTAATAAATAAAGCAGCTTTGGCCTATGGCAAGGCAGCTTAGAGGCAAGCGAGGAAATCCAAGCGGAGATATAGAGAGAAGGGTGAAGTCAGGGGAGACAACAAACAACATGTAATGGGACACAGGTAAAAGCCACGGAATACGTGGCGATACATAGATTAATAGAAATGGGGTAAGTTATAAGAGCTAGCTAGCAACGAGCTTGAGCCGTAGGCCATACAGTTTGTAATTAATATTAAGCCTCTGAGTGATTATTTTATAAGTGGCTGTGGGACCACGGGTGGGAGAGATTCCTCTGGACCATGGGGCCAGACAGAACCAAAGAAACTTCCAGCAACAAAATTCTGTCCCAAATAAAACAGAAAAACAAAACAAAAACCTTACCCTAAACCAGTGGTTCTCAACCTTCCTAATGCTGAGACCCATTCATACAGTTCCTCATGTTGTGGTGACCCCCAATCATAAAATTATTTTTGTTGCTACTTCATTAACTATAATTTTGCTCCTGTTCTGAGTCGTAAATATCTGATATGCAGGATATCTGATATGTGACCCCTGTGAAAGCATTTTTCAACCCCGAAAAGGGTCATGATTCACAGGTTGAGAACCACTGCTCTAAACACTCAGTACTACATCTGAGTCCCAAATACCTGAGTGTAGTCCCAGCCAGATGGAATAAAGACCTTCAGTTGGCTATAGACCATGTCTGAGTGGTCTTCTCCAGTGGACTCCCGGTAACAATTCCAGCAGAGTTTTATCTGCATCCTGAAAACTTGAGTGAGGCTGAGTATCAAAATAAATGGGTTGTTAGGCCGAGGAAATCCCAAGGCAGCCTAACATTCAGGCTGTGACACAGTTATTGTTCACTGCATTCATCCACATTCACAATGAGAACAAGTGTACAGAGAAATGCAGGAAATGTCGTTTGGTGGGTAGAAATTGGACCAAGTTGAGGGCAGGGCAGATCTGGGATAAACTGGCTGTGGTTGTTAAAGGAATCTAGTGCCACTGATATCTGAAACCGTCCACTGGAATAATAGGTAAGGCTCCTAGAAGGCAATGCCTCACTGATTCAAATGAGAATTCTAGGATATAAAAATGCAAATCCATTTGAAAGGAGAACGCTTGAAAAGATAGAAAACAGCACATTGGGAGATGATTTCCCAGGTTCGGCCACAAGAGCATGCAGAGGTGGCTGCAACCATGGTCTAAGTGTGCCAGGCTTCATCTGGAGCTGGCAGCCAAATTTGGTGATGTGGCATCCACATTTGCAAGATGTATAGGAGAGAAGAAATAATAGAAATTTGTGCCAAGATTCCAGAAAGCCACAGAAACAAAGCAGTGAATGGCAATGTCAGTCCCTGTACGGAGGCCTCGAGAGGCCACTGTGAAGTGAAGGCGGAGGCTACATTGTCAAAGACCCCCGATATTAGAGATGCCAGCAAGGTGGGAGGTTGGATGCTCACTGAGGAAAGCTGCAGGTACCACGTACTGGCCCAACAGAGACCACAGGCACCAGAACCATGGGATGGGACTACCCGAGGCCACCAGGGCCCAAATGATGTCAAGAACCTCAGACACCAGATGTGGAGCAGAGGGTTTGTTTTCTACTGTGCTGGATTTCATTCATCTTGCTTTGGCCTAATCTTTCTTTGCTATGCTCCAATTCCTCCCTTTTGAAATAGGTTTGTTTACTCTGTGCTATTGTATGTTGGAAGTAACTTGTTTATTTTACAGGGGCTCATGATTCAGAAATTGTCTTGAGTCTCAGAGCAAACTTTGAACTTAGACATTAAACTGTGGGGGTTGGGGGAGGGGGGACAAAGACGACCCTCAGGGATAAACTAAATGCATTTTGTATTATGAGGTAAACGATTTCAAATGCCAGACAGAATATTATAAAGTGATGTCTTTGGGTGTTTAGTTGACAAGGAGTGGATTTGTAATAGTTAACTTGAAAGAAGAAATAGCTAGGGTATTAATGAAGTTCACCCTTGAGTATGCCTTAAGGGTTGTTTTTGGGGGTGGGGGTGGGGGTCACGATATAATCCACCCTAAATACGGGCCACACTATTTCCAGGGCTGGAGTCTGGACTAAATAAAAAGTAAAACAGTGGAGGCCAAGTCCCAGTGCTCATCTCTCTGCTTCCTCCTTCAGGATGCTTCTTGCCAGGGATTTTGTGACAGTATTGAGAAAGTAACTAACATGGCCCCCGAGATGTAGACCTCCCCTTAGGTGCTCTTCTTCATTTTAACCACCCCTTCCTCTGGGCCATCTTAGGGACCTAGGAAATGTCTGACTCTGTATTATGCTCTATCTGCACACTCCTGCTGCTGGATGAATTAAGTGTGTGGTGTTTCTGCTCAACTGAAGGACAACCCTGGTTTTCTCTCACCTAAGTACTGAACCCCCTCACAGCCAAATTAGCATCAACTCATTTTCAAAACAGATTAGGAGGTCATCAACTTCACAAATGGATGAACTATTCAAACAACAGAAAGCCTGAGACACCCCAGAACTAACACCCTGTCTTCACTCAGGACACCTACGAGGGCAGGCAACATGCAGCAGCATGGGACACATGCTGCAGAGTGAGCTATCAGGACCTGCAAGTGTCCGGCAACGGGCTTCTCTGTCTGTGTCTGAGTGGCCCCACTGGACAGACTGTCAATAGTGAGTTGTGACATATGCAGTCTCCAAATACAGTGTTTAACAGAAGCCAAGAGACAGAATACCAAACTATATTTACTGTTTACAGTAGTAAAGGACAACAAATAATGTACAAACTGGTGAATAAACACAACAGAGCCAACAGACATCCCACCCAAGCCCACGCAGCAAAACAGGAAACAAGAACATTTTCCTCAGGATTTTAAGCAAGCGAGAGATGGTAGGTCAGTGTCAGGTGACTATAAAAGGCAGAGATGGCCATCAAGCAGCAATGGATCCTTACAGAAGGATGACAGGCAGAACTATGAACATTTAACTGGTATAGACCCCACAATGCAGGACTGACGTCACCCACTGATGCATCATTTGAATACACATTTGTAAAGCGGCAGAGCACAGTCCATGAGAATGAGGCCACCTTCCCCTGGCTTTCTTTTGCAGCCACACTTTAGAGCAAGTCTCTTACACAACATCACTGTAAACTTGATACTTAACCAATTACCTTCTTAAACAGAAACCATAATTATGTATCGGAACCAAGTACTAGAAAGAATCTGAGGCCACATTCAATTTCCAAATGAGACAGGGCAAGTACTTTCTTCTACATCATGAAAAGGGAAGAGAGTGGGTTTCACTGTACCAGCCTTGCCCAGGTACCCACTCCCAGATACCAAGGAGAAAGGGGCGTGTGCAGGAGTAGTTGGGTCACAGTACTTAAGGACTCCTTACATTTTTTAAAAGCATTGGTCTTTTCCCTTGAACTTCACCAGATGTTTGACAAAGCTCAAATTTATAGTATTTCACATTTTAATATTCTTTGCCTACAACAAATAGGTGGAATTCTGTCCCTCTCCCCCCCTCAACATCCCATAGCATGCCCACTGGGGAATGTGACCACAAGCTCTCTATTTGGTTAGGACAAGTCAAACCAGAGGGAACCACAGTTCTGGGGGCAGAGTTGGGCCACAGGCTGAGAGTCTACATCCAGCCCCAAGTTTGGGGGGAAAAGTATTTTAGGGATGGGAGGAAACAGAAACGAAAACAAAAACAAAAAACAAATCCCAAAACCTCACATCTCATTTCCCTAAACCAAACACTCTTGTTGGCCAAGTTACATAATACTCGCGTCCCTGCATATGGTCTGTAGTTCACTCCAAGCGGTGACTCTGGCTTCTGCTGACTCTTCTGTGATTGGCGTGGCTGCATGGTCACCATTCAATAGCAAATGTCAGGACAATGGTTGGGTGTGGGGACGGTCCCTCGGGGAGCTGTTCCTCCTGTCTGCTGCTGGAATACGTCAATGGTGTCCTCATCCTCCATCTCCAGCTGTCCATGTTGCCAAGGCAGGCCCAGGCAGAGGGGACAGGAAATGTCAGAGGTGAATACACAATGATACCATGCTCCCAAACAGCTTCCCCCTACACTAGACACAGCCCAGTCACCTTGGCTGGAGTGCAGCATGCAGGGAAAAAGGGTCACTGGTGGGGTCACAGTAACTACTTATCCACCCGACTGACTGCTGACAAGAGTCATAGAAGAATAATCACAGCCAAGAACTGAGGGAAAACGGGGTCATTAAAAACAGACTCATCAGCCCACAGAATGCACTATGTGTTCTTATAATGTCTATTGTATGTATTGCAATGTCAGCATTTTAAAGTGTTTTTATGCATTTTTTAATGAGGGGCACTCACACGAACTTAGATCATCAGGCTTGGTGACAAGCGTCTCACCCACTAAGGCATCTCGCCAGCCCCAGCATTTGTAGATAAACATTTGATATTCACAAAAACCTTGCCTATCATTCATTCATCTTTTATTTTTATGTGTCTGTTTGTGTGGTTGTGTGAGCTTATGTGCCCCACCCACATGCATGAAGGATTCTGCAGAGCAGAAGAGGAAGTCAGATCCCCTGGCACTGGAGTTACAGCTGTGAGCTGCCCTGTGGGTGCTGGGAATTGAACCCAGGTCCTCTGGGAGACCAGCCAGTGCTCTTAACCCCTAAACTACCTCTCTAGCGCCCCCCCCCAAAAGAAAAAAAGTTGGTCTTTTTCTTGAGACATGACTCTCTCTATAGCCCTGGCTGTCTTAGAACCGGCTCTGTAGACCAGGCTGGCCTTGAACTCACGGATCTGCATGCCTCTGCCTCCTGAGTGCTAGGATTAAAGTCCTGTATCACTAATGCCAAGCCCCCAAAATTTTTTATTTATTTATTTATTTTTATGTGCATGTATATCTATGTACCACATATGTGTCTGATGCCCAGAGTCTAGAAGAGGGCATCAGATTCCCTGGAACTAGAGTTACAGGCAGTTGTAAGCTGCCATGTGGGTGCTGGGAATCAAGCCCGGGTCTTCTGAAAGAGCAGCCTGTATTCTTAACTGAAGAGCTATCTCTCCAGTCCCCACAAAAATATTTTTAATTAAAAATTTTAAAATAAGACAAGTACCTAGGTTCTGACTCCAGTTCCAACTCCAATAAAGAACAAGTGGCTGGCACTAAGCCCTCAGGACCCCAGGAGCTGTGGATTCGCGGGCAGCCGTCAGCGATGGCCATGGCCCCCGAGGGTATGGGTCCTACACCTGGACGCTCATCTCAAAACAGCCAAGATATGTTTGCAGTCCCACTTCTTCAGCTGAGAAACTAATCTCCAAATGTCAGAACGTGAAGTCTAATCATCAAAATCATTGCAGAAACAAGTCTTTTGTGTGCACCTATCTTATTCTCAAACGACAGTGTTCCAACTGCGCAGACCCTGGCGCACATGGCTACATCATACCTGGGCTGGAGTGTCTGTTTCGTTGATTGGTTGCCCATCAAACCGGAATCGAATCTGCCTCATTGACAAGCCCTGGGGAAAAGGAAGGACATGCATTAGATGTTCCCAGACAACACAGATGAACCTGAAGATATCCAGAACCAGCAACAATATTAGCATCTGTATACGCACACAACCCAGCTGAGTACAAAGAGCCCTGGTGGCCCACAATCTACAGCATCTGCTGCCCCAAACCAACCCATTCAGAAGTCTCCGTCCCATTCTGACACCTGGCCTGCCCTAATTCTGCCCCTCCCTTCTTCTCAGAAGCTTAACTAAGCTAAATTCCCCCCAGAACTTCTGTACTGCAATACCGTTTCCTCCTCCGGAAAGTTCCCAGAGAGAAACAGGTCAGGTGGCCATGAGGGCCACAATCAGGAAGGCTGTGAGGAGCACAGCAGAGACGAATATGTGAAAACAGACCAGGAGGAGAAGAAGAAAGCACCGTGTGTGTTACAGAAATGACATGCCTTCCCAGTGTGATTTCTCACACTTAGAGATAAGGGAAAAGCTCTTTAATAAGATAGTGTATGTCAGCCGGGCGGCGGCGGCGGCGGCGGCGGCGGCGGCGGCGGCAGCGGCGGCGGCAGCGGCGGCGGCGCACGCCTTTAATCCCAGCACTCGGGAGGCAGAGCCAGGCGGATCTCTGTGAGTTCAAGGCCAGCCTGGTCTCCAAAGCGAGTTCCAGAAAAGGCACAAAGCTACACAGAGAAACCCTGTCTTGAAAAACCAAAAAAAAAAAAAAAGATAGTGTGTGTCTGGCTTAATGCCTCAGATAGAAGATTTTACTAACTTATATACAGTTGAGGCTTATGGATTCCACATATGATGTCATCCTTAAATCTCTTGCAGGTCACGGCCCCAGGTTCCACTTTGAACAATGTTAGCAGAGACAGGAGACTCAGGTCTAGCCATTTGGCAGATGTGAGGTTTACACAGCAAAGGTATTGCATATTGCCAGAATTATTTTAAGTACACCAGTGCGGTTCTCTTTCAAATAGTTGTAACCTGGGGTAGTTTTGTGCACCTGACGGATTATGCATTTCTCAGTGAGAGAACCGGGGGCTTTATGGCAGGCTAAGACTTAACACTGGTTTAGAGCCTGCCCCGTCCTCTTGTGCTGCATTGTTCGAAGCATGTTATTTGATATGGGGATGGGTCTCACAGCAAGTCTGCAACACAGCCACCACCGCAGGACTCCTTCAGGGAGGGAGGCCGTGAGCAGGCACGCACGCACGCACGCACGCACGCACGCACGCACGCACGGGGCTCTGCCTACCTGCCTCTCGCAGTAGGCCTTCATCAGCTTACTCAGTGGAGTGTGCCGCTTGATCTTGAACTGCACCACTGAGCCATCCTGCCCCGCCACTTTCAGGTTGATGTGGTCATTCTCTGTCTTCACTCCCTCCTGTAAGACACGGGAACTGGGTCTCAAAAGCCAGCTCAGAATCACCGGGGCTTAAAGCGTAGGTCCTTGGGTAATGGTGATTGTTTCAAGTCATCAAAACCAACCTACTTCTTAAAATTCCCCCAGCAGCTCCTGTGAGTTATTCCCCCGGAGTGACTCGTGTGACTGTCTTATTTTTACACAGAATTTATTTTTAACCTACATTTGTTAAGCACCGTGAAAGAAACAGCCGTATAAAGCCAGTGTCCTCACAGACTACCAATTCAAAGACAAAAATCTACTCACTAAATCTAGGAAGCCAAAGAAAACCCATCTTTGTTTTAAAAATTATTTATGAGGCTAGTAAAAACATGTTTGCAGGCTATCCATGGCTCTATATGATTGGTAAGAAAAGCCAACCAAGAGTGGGAGACCAGAGGGACACTGGGGGGCTCTGAGGGATCCGCTAGAGTTAGCAGGGTGAAGGCTGTGGTCCCCCTGGACCCTCCAGTCTCAGACTGTGCTCTTCTGGGGCTAGGTATGGATCCAAGGAATACCATGTGCTCAGCCTGCACAAGGCCCTGGGTTCCATTCCCCACAGTGGATGAAAAATTCCCATGAACAGCAGTAGTTTTTATATAATCATGACATACGCAAGCCGCTGGACAACGGCGAAGTCAGTTACTTCTTATTGCCTGGAAACACACTTTGAATAAAAAGTTTATGTTATGGGCCGGCCACAGAGCCACACTTTGGGGCCATTCAGTCCGAAAAGGAATTATTTTTGTTGTTCAGAGCATGCATGACACACAGAATGTATCAAAAGCCCACGGGGACTTTTTAACCTCTATTATTTTTTGAATGTGTATGAGTATTTTGCCTGCATGTATGTCTGTGCATAACATGCAGGCAGTGCCCACGGAGGCCACAAGAGGGCGTCAGATCCTCTAGGACTGGAGTTACAGATGTTTGTCAGCAGTCACGTGGCTGCTGGGAACTGAACTGGGTCCTCTGAGAGAAGAGGACTGCTCCTACCGCTGAGCCATCTCTCCAGCCTTGGAAACCATTTATTTGTTAAGGACATAGATCCTTGGTCCACTTGCAGACCAAGCCTTCTCCCTGTCAACACACCGGTTTTTTCCCACAGCTCAGCCAAGTAACTCCATTGAAGCGCCCTACTTCCCTTGGATGTCCTCGGCCACTTCTTCCTGGAGAAAGGGGTAGGACAGTGTCAGGAAGGGACCTGACCGGCACTGGGTCCTAAAGGCCTCGGGTAAGAGCTCTTTCCAGCCTGAGAAATAGTCCCCAGGTGAGAGGATCTTGCAAGGACCTGAGAGAACACCTGGGGCACCGTTCTCCCATTCCCTCCTGCGTGAGACTTCCCAGGACTCACAAGACACCAAGGACACAGTAGCACTGCTCAGAGAGCTTGGCTCCTGCTCCGGAGTGTGGGATCCACCATGAGAAAAAGTGAACAACTCCAGGCCCCAAGACGCACTGACTTCTATCAGGAAAAAAAAAAAAGTATGCTGTGGTCAAAACAGGCAGCAACCAGGACTTAAATAAACAGAAATGCCAGCAGAGGTGAAGAGGCCTGAAGCACTCTCTCCTCTAACAGCAGGACGGCTGGCACAGTCCAGGAGCTCTCTAATTAGCAAATAAACTCACAAGTTAAGAAAAATGAGGCTTAGCATGATGACTGCTAAGACCTGTAACCCCAGCACTCCTGGGTACAGGTCAAGGCCAGCTTGAGCTACACAGGGAGACCCTGTCTCAAAACAAAGGCTGGAGGATCTCTGAGTTCAAGACCAGCCTGGTCTAGAGACCTTGTCTTTAAAAAAAAAAAAAAAGGTATGAGGGGATGGAGGTAAGGAAGTAGCTCACTGGCAGAGTACCTACCTAGCGTACAAAAGTCCCTAGGTTAGATCACCAGCACTGCAAAATATAAATAAAAATATAACGCTCTGCCTCCACTAACCTAAGGAGGCAGAAGGTGTGGTCTTTCCAGTACCACACCAGGCATTCACTTCCTGCCCAACCTCATATAGAGGAAACCAACTACAAAATATAAAGTGTGTACTCTTGGCCCAGGACTAACAGGTCATTCAACATCCATGATGGTTCAGGCAGCAGCCAAGGCTGAGTTGGAATAAAAGGTAAGGGCCCCACAGGCAAGATGCTGCTGGGTTCAGCTGTTGACTTTACAGCAGGGTACCATAACATTCCAGTGGCTTGCCCTGCTCCTGGGGTCTCCCATCTGAACCAAGAGAGTGGTCACCTCCAGGCCCAGGCCGGTGAACAGCACAGAATGCCAGTCTCCAACGTTTATCTCCCAGCAGGGCAGGGAAGGTGGAAAAGCGGTTTAACTGGGATTGGGCAACCCTGCCCTGTCCACGCACCAACTGCCGAGACTTAAGTGAGGGGCCTGCCCCGCAGGACCGCAATGGAGTGGGGAGAGCACCCGGCCCGACCTACAGTGATCAGCTCGGAGCGGCCAGCTTTACTCCTGCCCCGGGGCGGCTCTCAGAGCGCCCAGGGCCTCACGCACGGCCTCACGCGTGGACCTCTGCACACGGCACAAGAGGGATGGCCACGTCTACGAGTGAGGACCGAGAGGAGGGAGACCTGCTAACCAAGTACCAGCACCCCGTGGGACCTCCAAGTTCCGGGTTCTCGGGCCGTGGGGCGTGGCTAGACTCGGGGCGGGGCTACACGGGGGCGGAGCCCTGGCGTGGCGGGAGGCACGGCCGGGGGGGGTGGGACTAAGGGGCGGGGCGGGGCCAGGGGGAAGCTCGGGGCGGGGCGCGACGCCGGTGGGGGAGGGGCGCGGGCCATGGTGGGGGGAGGGGTGCGGAGGCCCGGGCGCGGGCCCGCGGGCCCTGTTTGCGCGCGGCCCGGCCTGCGTCCTGCGGACTCTGCAGCGGCTTGCGTCCCGGGCTTACCTTGGGCTTCTCTTCCGACATGGTTGCGCGTCGGCGGCGACGGCGGGAAGCGCAGCGGGAACCGGTGGCACTGGAGCGGGCGAGTCACGCTCTCTGCCCCGCCGCTCTCCCGCCGCAACTGTCGCGGGGCCGCGCTTTATCCCTAAATCCTGGCGCGCCGGTTGGCCGCGCCGAGTCACGTGGTGGCGCGCGTGCACGAGGCGCGTGCCCCGCGCCTCGGGTGCGCGCTGGCCGGCCGCGATTCCGGACGGTTGAGAATGCGTCACGGGGCGGGTCAGGCACCCGGGCGCGCGCAGAGCCCCGGGGACGCGCGACTCCAGGTCCTGGGCACCGAGACCCCCCGATATGGGTATAAGTCTGCAGGGCCACGCAGGGCGCAAGGGCTGCGAGGCATGCGAGGACTGGGGGCGTGTGTGTTAAAACAGGAGCCAAAAAAACGCTTTGGCCCAACCGACCCCAGTGTCTTCAAGCATCCTCTTTGCCACCCACGTTTGGTTTCTTTTCCTGTATGCAGGCTGCGTTTGGGGAAGAAAATCAGGCTAACCCCTTCAGGTAGTCCAGGAAGACCAATAAGAGGTTACCAGGCATGCTTTATGGGCCACACACTCCTGGAACAGGCCTGTGGCCTTGAATTTGAATGTCACAGGGCATCTGTAAAAGGCATCCTTTGAGGACACGCAGGATGACTTCTGTTGGCCCAGAAAGTCAGCACATACTCCTGATTCATCTTTTCCCATCTGACCTTCCAGGTGGGGTGGGTCAACCTCCACAAGGGCATTCCCAAGATGGCTCCAGGAGATACCTGCCTCTTCCCCAGCCTTCTTTGTATCTACCCTTCTTCCTTACATGGTCCCAAAGTAACCACCAGGTGGCTGGGGTGGGCAATAGTGGCATGCACAGGAGGCCTCCCTTTTGACCTCCCATTTGCCCAGTTTCTGGAATGCTGTTGTAGACACTAGTAACCCATTTTACACAGGACACTAAGATACCTACAGATTTGATAACATGCCCAAGGAGTCAGCTTGGTAATTACTGCAGGACAAGTGAAGAAGGTTGGAGCACTAGCAAGGAGCACTGACTGGGAGCACTAGCTGGGTAGTCAGGAGTCCTTTGCTGTATCTTGGAATGTGTGTTCTTAAAATGCAGTCCACCTGCTCTCTGTGTCTATATGCCAACACCCTCAAAACAGACCAGTCAAGACTGCCACAGTCACTCACAGTAGTCCCAAGAGGATGTTGGTGGTCATGTTCCAGAAACAGATAGCAGCCTCCAGAGAACTGGCAGTCTGGATTTGACAGAAGTATGTTTCTGTTTCAAAAAAGGGCCGGCAGACAAGTATCTCTGTTTCCTGGTAACCCTGCAAAGCTAACAAGCCAAGTGTCTGTGAGGCCAGCCTTTCCAACCTCCTCCCCTGTACACATGGCCTTTCCCAGGAAGTCTGTCAAGGTCATTCCATAAAGATCCTTCTGGAATTTACCTCTCACCCCAACCAGACAAACCAGCTTGGCCCCATTCCAAACCATGCCTCTCTCAGAAAGACCGCCAAAAATCCAGGCTCCTCCCCTCAAGCTGCTACCTGCTCAAGACTATACATACAAGGTATTTAAGCCCCTCCTCAAGAATGGCCATGTGGGCCGGGCGGTGGTGGCACACGCCTTTAATCCCAGCACTCGGAAGGCAGAGCCAGGCAGGTCTCTGTGAGTTCGAGGCCAGCCTGGTCTACAGAGCAAGATCCAGGATAGAAGAATGGCCATGTGATTTCTCCTGCTCCCTTCCCCTACTTGCCTCACCTCTGGGGGCTCGAAAGTCACCGGGGAATGCTTGGCCCAATAAACCGGGTCTTTTTTATTCAGTTTAATCTGGCTTACTGTGTTGACTGAGAAACCTATTATTGAGGTAAAAAAAACTTGTCATCTTGGTGCTGAGCCTAGGTAGAACTGAGTCTTCCCCACTAGTCCCCCAGCCACGTGAGAGGCCATTCTTCTTTTTATCCCCACCCCCTCCGCCAGACCAAATCAACTCTTGGACTTGGGTAAGTCACCCATTTCCAAGCAAAACGCCTATAGAGGTCTGGGACCTGAGTCTTTGACCCTGAGGGTTCCTGCCAAGCCTCCGCAGCACCAGGCAACCTGGCCTGTTTCTGGAGCAGAGACAGCCTCTGTCCTTGGAGTCCTTTGTACAGGAGACATTCTCCACAAAGGCAGCTCCCACACCCACCATCCTCAGCCCTAGGCTATAGTACTGGATGCATTTCTTTTTTTGTTTGTTTGTTTGTTTGTTTTGTTGTTGTTTTGAGACAGGGTTTCTCTGTGTAGTTTTGGTGCCTTTCCTGGAACTCACTCTGTAGTCCAGGCTGGCCTCGAACTCACAGAGATCCGCCTGCCTCTGCCTCCCAAGTGCTGGGATTAAAGGCCTGCGCCACTACCGCCCAGCTGAATGCATTTCTATAACCTTCAGTCTCTGGAAAAAGGCTTGTAAACAGGTAGCCGCAGGTCCAAGCCTGATTCTCAGTCACCCATGGGATGTCTCTTGCCAAATTTATCCAAATTGGGGCTCTCTGGCAGCATATGTCCCAAACACCTGATTTCCTTGTGTTCTAGGGCCTGGCCTCAATATGCTCTTGATAACCAGTCAATATGGCCTCCAAAGAGAACTCTTGACTTTAACATCCCTCATGATTTTGAAATTTTCTGCCGGCGTATGGACAAATGGTCTGAGCTTTCATACATCCAGGGTTTGGGGGCTCTGCACTCCGGTCCCTCCCTCTGTACCCTAGGCTTTGTTGGCTAGGGTTCTGGCACCTCCAGCCCACCCCCCACCCCTGTTTTTCTGGGGACTGGGACCCTGCACTAGGTCACAGTTCATCTCTGCCCCCCCTCCCTATTCTTTCTCTGTTGGTCCATCTACCTGCCTCTCACATCTTGCTCCAAGATGGCCTTTCCCTCTGTGACTCTCCCCATCCCCCCCGATAAACCTCTTGCCCTAACTCTGCTGTTCCTGCTGTAGCTGAGCATATCTCTGGAATGTCCAGCTCAGACTATATGTGAGAGACAGAAACTCCAGAAACCAGCCTTTGCTGAAGCAGTTGTTGGAGATCAAAGCACACTTTGCCTCCACTGATGGCTACGACTCAGGGCAGGAAGTGTTGAGACTACAGTGTACCATCGGTTCCAATATGCCAGGCACTATAAAAGTGTTGCATTACTGGGTGGTGGTGGTGCATGCCTTTAATCCCAGCACTTGGGAGGCAAAGGCAGGCAGGTCTGTTGTAGGTCTTTCTCAGCAGACTTTTGGGACCGCCAGCCCCCAAATAATGACATGGAAACTTATTATTAATCATGAAAGCTTGGTTTATTCCCAACCAGCTCTTATAATTTAAATTAACCTGTTTCTACGTTTTGCTACATGGCTTTTTACTTCTCTTCTATATTGTAAGTTCAACTCCCTCCATGTCTCCCTGGTGTTTCTCAAGTGTGTCTAGATTCTTCCTGAGTTCCTCTCTCTGTCCAGAAATCCCACCTAACCTCTCCTGTCTAGCTATTGGCCATTCAGCTCTTTATCAAACCAATCAGGTGTCTTAGGCACTTTAGCTTGCTCAAATATTCTGCAACACAGATCCCTGAGTATGAGGCCAGCCTGGTCACAGAGTGAGTTCCAGGACAGCCAAGGCTACACAGAGAAACTCTATCTCAAAAAAAAAAAAAAGAAAGAAAGAAAGAAAGAAAAAGAAAAAAGGGTTGCATCCTACAAACAGTAATGCAGCTGTAGTGGTATTTGCTCCGCCCATGACCTTGAACTATATGTCCTGAAGGAGGCTGTTTCTTCTAGAGAGAGAAGACAGGTTGCTCAGTGGTTAAGAGCGCTGACTGATGTTCCAGAGGAACCGGGTTCAATTTCCAGGTCATCTGGAGTCCAGACACGCCAGGACAATAGATAGATAGATAGATAGATAGATAGATAGATAGATAGATAGATAGATAGATAGATAGATAGATAGATAGATAGATAGATAGAAGCACCACCTCCATATAGCCCAAGGTCATGGGCGGAGCAAATACCACTACAGTTGCATTACTGTTTACAGGATACAAGAATTGAACTGTGTCGTCTGTAGCTGAGGGCATCTATGGCCAAGTTATCAGAGTGCAACTGATACCAGCATCTAAGTAGGCTACGGTATGAACAGCAGCATTGTGACCAATTCACACACACTGAAACCTACTGTTGTGAAAAGTGGATAACCAATAAAAGGAGACACTCCTGTGAGTAGTTTTCAAAGCCTGTTCTCAAGCTGTCAAGCTATTGGGGAAACGGAGAGATGGCTCTCTCCGTTAACAGAACACACGGTTTTTCCAAAGGACCTGAGTTTGGTTCTCAGCACCCATGTCAGACAGCTCACGATTGCGAGTTGCCCCAACTCCAGGGGATCTGGCGCCCTCTTCTGGCCCCCAAGAGTACTGCAGTCACACATGCTTATTCACACACAGATACACATTTTTAAAAAAACCATTGGCCTAAAGAGGCCCCTTGGGCATTGACAGAACCTTAGCATGACTTTCATTACTAAAAAAACATTGGTCTAAGGAGGTCCCTTGGGCATTGACAGAGCCTTAGCATGACTTTCATTACTTGAGAATAGTAGCTTGCCTGGCATAGGGCATCCCAGCCTGCCTTCATACAGCAGACCCAGACAGCCCATAGTAAGTTGAGGTTGCACACACACACCTGGCCACACCCCTCCAAGGAGACAGCTGAAAGCAAAGAACACTAGCCAGAGAAGAGGAAGAACTGGGAAATCAGTAGTAGCATCACTGAATAGTAGGAGGGTCATGGCTGAGGGACTTCACAAGGGAAATCACAGGACTCTGGGGAAATCATAGGACTCTAGGATCACAGAGAAAGAGAGGAACACAAAGCTGAAGCACTGTGGATCAGTGCAAGTATGCACCCATCTGACAGGAGCTTCAGAGAAAGGAAACAGAACAAGGAGGCAGGACACAACTGAAGACACGTCTCTAGACTAAAGAAATATGTACAAATGGAACAAGTCCTTGAGTACCAAACAGTCAGAGGAGAAGGCTGACACTGAGGTATTCAGTGTAAGCATGGATTCCAACGGTTCCTTTATGTGAAGGACACCCTGCGGCCGGCCTCCTGCT